GGCTAAGGAAGCAGCAGGCAGAGGTGGGCCTCTGTGCTCGTGGCCTGGACTTCTTGGTATGTGTGGGGGTCCAAACGCCTTGATGGCTTGTCCTGAGTTACAGATATGCTTGTCCCTCAGCAGGGACACCCATTGCATGGGGCCAGGTGACCCCAGGGCCCGGCCACACTCTCCTCTGTATGCCAAGGTCTCCCGCAGCTGGCCGGAGGTGTCGGTGGCCGGTGTGCCCTACACCTGAGCCCACCGTCCTTTGTACCTGCCCCTCCCCAGCACTGCCCTGGCAAGTGGCTGGGTAACAGCTGCCCTGGCTCCTGCCCCAGACTGTCCGGCCTCCATCCGAGCCTCAATGGTTGCCTTTCACAGGGTAGGGTGGCTGACAAGGCATGCAGACAATGGCCTTTGTTGTCCAGGACCAGGCCACCATCTCCCTCCAGCAGGCATGGCTTCCTGCCTGGGTCTCTCCAGGAGGTGCCCCCTTCCCTCCGTGAAATTCGTGGTCATGCCAGGCAGGGACATCCCAGTGCTGCTGCCCTCCTGACCTTTGACCTAAATGTCATTGTGCAAATAAGGAGGGAGAGAGGTGCGGTGCCCTCAGAGTCAGAGCTTTGCCTGGCCTCAGTTTCTCCTTCTGTGATAAAGCTGGTGTATTCAGCATAACAGTGGGGGATCATTGAATCCTGACACGTGTTGGACACATGGCCAGGGTGAGGCACCCTGGGCTGTTTGGTACTGTGAGAAGGTTGGGTCCTTTGAAGTGATGGTGGAAGCTAGGTAGGGCATCGCTGGACCCAGGAAGCCCCATTTCCTGACTGTGTCTTCCATGTGGGGTAGGCTTGTCCCCTGTGTGAGCCTTAATGTTTTGTGCCTGTAGTGCCCTTGGATCTGTCCAGGTGATGGGCTCCAAATGAGGGGTCACTGGCAAGGTCAGCCAGCCTGCCCACAAGTACTGGACCTCTTTTGGGGCCCATGTCCCAGCCACTCTGAGTGCAGTGGGCTGGTCTGGTGGCCTTGCTAGACCACAGGGACAATCTTGTCTCATTTAGCTGTATCTCAGGTTGATGAGGGAACTGAAGCCCAGAAAGGGGTGACAGTGAGGGTCCCTGCCACCCTGTCTGTGAGATCATCTGGTGGATTCCTGTTCCGAGGCTTCCTGATGCTGTAGCGTGACCCTGAACAGTATCTCTAGGGGAATGACTGCTTTTGTACAAGATGGCCACACAGCTCAGAACCCCAGAGCTCAGAACCACAGGCTGGAGCTGGCTCCCTCCCCACCGGGCTGTGCTCTGCTGGCTGCTGAGCAGACAAAGTAAACAGGAAGGAATGTGGGACCCTTGCATTGAGGGACCCTTGCATTGAAGGGTCCCTGTGTGTAACCAGTACATCAGGGAGGCTTCAAGCCAGAGCACTGCATTACAGAGGACACATGATGTGTCCAGAAGGCAGTTCCTGAGAGGCGTCAGTTTGTGCCAGGGCCAAGGGGTCAGGCATTCTCCTGAAGGCATGCCTCCCAACTGGGCCAGTGCAGAGGGCCATGCAGCCATCGCTGGACTGTGGAAGCCTTCCTGGTGTGGCCGATCAGAGAGGAAAGGCCTCCCAAGGAGACACAGAGAGGAAGAACGGACTCTGTTCCCAGAGCCCAGCCAGGAAATAGCTACAAGGGCTGAGCAGAGGGCGGTCACCTGCTGCCCTCCTGCTTCCGGAACCCTGGGCTCCTAAGATGGGAAGCAAGGCTCCCAGGGAGCAGGCAGAGTGGGGCCCTGCAGGTGAGTGGAGCTGGAAGGCTCCCAAGCAGTGATCTCAGCCCTGTCACCCACGAGGCCCTCTGTCCTCCGTGGAGTTAGAGCACCGCTGTGAGGCCGCAGCAGGCAGACAACCCAGAATCGGAACCTGCGTACAAGGAAGCTGTGTTCCCATGGCCTCTCACCTGTAAAGGTGCACAAGGGACCCAGGTTGCTTCAGGATAGAGCCCAAGTGGCCAGTGGGCAGCGTGTCTATGCAACACATGAGTGCCGTGTTGGCGGAGGCCAGGAGAGGGTGCTAGGCAGCGGGAGCTGGAGCTGCAGTTCTGAGGAGTGTGGGTGCAGAACCTTGCAGTTAGCGGCTGGGCGTGGCTGACCCAGTTCTGGGGAAGGCCACAGGGCCTCAGTTTCTCTGGCTCCTCTGCACCCAACCTTCCGTTGGTAATACCCAGTGGGAGAGGCCAGGGGACACGGGTGCCTCTGCCACTCCTGAGGGTCCCACAGCAGTCCTGAGTGTGGGACACCCCCCTGGCTCACACCTTAGCAAGCTTCCTGTCACAGTCATAGCAAGAACACGTGCTCATTGCCCTGAATTAAAAACAAAAGTACACTTTGCATATAGACCACACAATTTACATACACTTTGCATATTCTGTTTGGAATGCAGTTCTTGAAGTTGGCGGGTTATGAAACCATGTGAGTGAAGACGATGCCATAGTGTCCTGCTTCCCCCCTGTGGCCCCGTTTGCCTGCGTGCTGAGCGGAGATAGGCGTTACAGTGCGCTTCAGGGCCCAGCCCGAGGCTGAGAGCTCATCCTACCCCTCACAGGCCTCGCTGCCGCTGCCGGGAGCGCATCCTATGGCAGCAGGCCATCTACCCAGCTCAGGGCACCACAGCGGCTTAAATGTTGCCCTACTGAGGGACATCGGGTTCTTTCCCATTTGTGAGGCTCAAGAGTGAAGCCCCCGGGTCAGGTGGCGCACACCCGTCACTCAGGAGCTGAGGCAGAAAGATTGTGAGTTCAAGACCAGCCTGGGCTACAGAGGGAGACACCCCTCCCCCAACTCGGAAAGAAACCTCCAGTCTGGGTTGCCTACTGGCCATGGCACTGTATGGCCACAGCCTGCAAACCAGTGCTGACTGAACCTCCTGGCCTCTGCCTCAGGACTGGCTAGTTCTTTCAGGGAGCATGGTCACTTCTGGTCCTACCAGGTCTCAAGTGTGCCCAGAAGTGTAGCCTGGCTGGGAGGCTGACCAAGGACCCTGGGCTGGGGTGGACAGGGGCCATCCGTCCAGGCCAGTGGGGCTGGGCAAAGGTTCACCACTTGTCAGCCCCAGATCCCATGGTACCAAGGAGGAAGCAGAGCTCTCAGAGAGGCCTAAAGTCTGGCAGGGGCAAGCTAGGGAGGCTGTCAGCGACATTTCCAAAACATCCCTTGGTTTGCTATCATGGGCCTGAAATGTAGGCAAGGAGGCAGCTTGTGGGGAAAAGTGACCGGTCCGATAGAGTATCCTTCGGACATGGACCTGGCCTGGCTGGGAGGACCCACTGCTTCAGGCTGCCCTGTTAGAGCCTCAGAGGGGCAGCAGGGTTCTGTCCAGCCCAGCATGGAAACAATGGCTCCCGAGGTGCGCCTGCCACCTGCTGGCAACTGTGAGAACAGCAGGTGAGAGGCGTGTTCTGCCTGGCTCCCTCGGTCCAGCTATAAAACATGGCTTCTTGGTTCTGGAGGTGATGGGGTGGGAAGCTGCTGCACCCAGTCTTGCTGCCCCTGAGCACCCACTTTTGGAGTCCAAGCTCAGCAAGCCTAGAGAATCTGGGTCCTGAAGCTGAAGGAAGGCCAAACAGACTTACTGCCCATCTAGGCTAGGTGTTCAAAGAGTCAATCAACAAACACTCTAAGTGGGTGCTGCCTGGGCTAATGGGGCCTGTTGGTGACCCAGTACCCAACTACAGAAAGAGATTTGCCTTCTGAGGCTGTGGCAAGGGAGAAACGCAGCCACCCCATGGCCTCAGAGAGGCCCTGTCCCCTGAGAAGCGGGGGGGGGGGGGGGGGGGAACAGGCCCCTTCTGGCATGCCCTAAGACTCATAGTCCCATGGGCGCCAGCTGCCCCCTCCCTGACGCCAGGCTGCTGCCTTTTTATGGCCACATGTCTCAGAGAGCACAGAAAATAGCCCCTTGTGTTTGGTACCGGGGACAGGGCTGCCGGGCAGCAGGCAGCCGAGGAGGACATGCTGGAGAGGGAGTCTGATGTGAGCTGGCCCGGCTGTCAGGGTCTGGCTGACCTGTGGTCCTCATACCGGGGCCGCACTCTCAGCCTTGAGCACATTGCCAACGGTCAAGGCTTTCCAGGCCCCTCTTTGCCAATGGAAGGCACTCGGACACTGGGCAAAGCCTGTGCTCTGCCCACCCAGCGGGAATGGCCACCGAGCGGGTCCGCCGGCAGAGAGATTGCAGGCGTGCAGGCGTGCAGACGTGCAGCAGCAGCCGCAGCTCACCAGCGAATGTCACCACGCCGGGGGGTGGCCCAGGAAGGAGGGCAGGGTAGCGAGCCGAGACGAGCCCACCACATCAGCTCCTTGTGGAAGAATGAGACTGACCAGGCACAGCAAAGCTGGGCAGTGGGGAGGGCAGGGAGGGCCCCCAGGAAGGCTGGACCTTCTGAGGGTGCTTTTTGAGACAGGGCTGCTCTGTGTAGCCCTAGCTGCCCTGGACTCACTCTGTAGTCCAGGCTGGCCTCCAACTCACAGAGATCCACCTGCCTCTGCCTCCTGAGGGCTGGGGTTAAAGACATGTGCCAACCCCACCCTTTGAGAGAGCCTGTTTTTGCCAGCAGTTGAAGTAGCTTATAACTGCCCCAAGGCAGAACTGTGCCAGGGTCCCCAAAGGAAGCCAACCCCAGCCTCATGGGCCAGCTCTGGGAAGGTCCTTCTAGCCTGTGGCATCCTGGTGCTGGTAACCGTTTCTGCTCCTTCTCATGCCCTAGGACCTGTTTTATTTCTTTGACATCAGCCCACCTGACAGTCCTGGGCCACCTCAAACCCACTGTCCCCAACTACACGCCTAGGCCTTGCTTCTTAGGTGCCTTGTCCAGGTGGGAAGATCTGAGTGAGCAAAGGTGACCCGGGCCCCAGAACCTGTGGTCTGGCCGGAGCGTCAAGGTGTCTGTGCACAGGAGGCCTCGGGCCAGCAGCAGGACAGACAGGGACAGGGTCAGCTAGGGGAGCCTCCTTGACAGTCAGTTCTCACTTCCCCAGGATACCGGGAGGGCCTTCTCTGGAAGCGTGGCCGGGACAACGGACAGTTCTTAAGCCGGAAGTTTGTGCTCACAGAACGAGAGGGTGCCCTGAAGTACTTCAACAAAAACGACGTGAGCCTGGCATGGAGCGGAGGGTCGTGGGTCCTTCCCTCGTGGGGTCCTGGCCTCCCCTGGGTCTGCAGGGCTGGAGTGTGTCAGTCTTCCCAGGGTACACCCCTCGTCATAAATGTGTGCGTCCACACACTCCCTCCCTCCTTCCCACCCAGGACTGACCCCTGTCCCTTCCTGGAGCCTCCAGGAGCCAGGACTGCTGGGAACGGTCCTGGGAAGCCTGGGGCTCCCCCTGGTGGGAGCTCCCGGGAACAGACTGGGATAGTGCCCTCGGTCAGCAGTGCGGGGTGCTGTTGGTTCCTGGCTCCAGGTCACCTGTGGGACGGTTGCAGGGAGGTGTGGAGCTGGCCGGATAGAGGGATGGAAGGCGAGGTGTGCCAGCCTGAGAGGGAGCTCAGCTCTGTGGTGCTCTCATGCAAGATGGCAGCTTCCTCCCCTGCCCTTCGTATGGGGCACTGGCTCGGAGACGACTGGCCACCTTCCTGGGGCCACCGCAGCCAAGTGTGTAGTGGCCCTTTCTCTGGGACCCTTGGCATCAAGAGGGGGCCACCATCTGGGACGGGGGACCCCAGGAGACATGCCTGGAAGTGCCCTGGCTAAAGATCCGGCTGAGGGACAGGGGTGGAGCTAGTCACATAGCCCCGTGGAGCTATAGAAAGACTGGTCTGGGAACAGTAGCAGTAGCTAGGATCCTGGGGTCTTGGCGAGCAGTCTCAGATTGCAGGCTCCAAACGCACAGGCGAACAGGAATTGGGGCAGGCTAGGACAGAAAAGAGATTAGGGGGAAGGTCACCCAGATACCAAGTGTGCCCCGGTCTCACTTAGTCCCCGTCACCCAAGGAAGTAGACTTTTACCTTCCGCTCACAGGCTCGGAATCTCGGGGGCAGAAAGATTCAGTAACTTGCCTGAGGCTGCACAGCACGCCCAGGTGTACTGCTTCTGTCCGTGGCTGCTGTCTGGGTTCCGACTAGCCTTCCTTCACAGGCCAAGGAGCCAAAGGCTGTCATGAAGATTGAGCACCTGAATGCTACCTTCCAGCCGGCTAAGATTGGCCACCCCCACGGCCTGCAGGTCACCTACCTGAAGGACAACAGCACTCGTAACATCTTCATCTACCATGAAGATGGCAAGGTGGGCACCACTGGGGGGAGGGGAGGGCACCCCCGGAGGGCCACTAATCCAGCACTCCGTGCCACAGGCCTCACTGTATGGGCAGACGGGCACCCCAAGCGTGCGTGCGTGCGTGCGTGCGTGTGTGGGTGTATATATGTGTGTGCAGAGCTGAGTGTTTCTGAAAGGCCAGGGAAGCTGGAATTTTGGCCTACTCCCTCGGGAAATCGCCACGTCTCTAAACATGGTTTTGGGTACCGTTTGCTAACCCCCAGGAAGTTAAGGGTCCCCCACACTGTTCCCCTGAGCCATCATATGTGTAAGGTATTTGTTCAGGTTGTGTTCAGGTCTGTGCCCTGGGACTACACTGCCTCGTCTGCCTGTGAGAAGCAGCCGCGTCTGCCTGTAGCGACTGGTGTCTACCCAAGCTCTAGGGCTGTCTGGACATCTAGGGACATGGGTGGACATGCCTCACCCCCTCCTTCCCTGTCTTGGCCTGGTCTGCGCTGCTCTGTGCCCTGTTTGGGCTGGAATACACCTGGGGTAGCTTTCTGAGGAGATGAGCCTGGGAGGCAAGTGAGCCGAAACCCTCTCTGGCACTTCACCTTTTCTCACTGCACTCTGACCAGAAAGAGAATTCAGGTTCGGACTGTCCCAGCACGGGGCCTCGGCTTTCTGCTCATGTCCACAAGGCCAGTGGGTGTTCTCTTTACTGAACTCGTCCCTCTGTCCTCTCTCTGGAAGCCCTGTCTTTCAGAACGTTATGCTGAAACTTCTCTCACTCACTAGTCTTCATTCTCATGTCTTCCTTTATTCTTTTTTTTTTTTTTTTTTTTTTGCATGTCTTTGTGGCATGTGTATTTTTTTCATGTGCAGGTACACTCGAGTGCGGGTACACGTGCGTTCACGTGGTGGCCCAGGCTCCATGCTGGGGCCTTCCTCAGTCACTAATTCACGGAGGAAGGTCTCCCAGTTGAATCTAGGCTCACCGGTTCTCCTACAGCTCAGCTCAGCTCTCCCTGTGCAGCTGGCAATATAGCTATCCTGGGCTCCTACCCACTCATGACAACTCATCTACTGGCTGGCTTCCAGCCCATGCTGTTCTCTGGGTCTTTAGGCTTTTAATAAAACTCTCTCGAGCACAGGTGGGGCACAGTGGCGCTTGCCTTTGACTCTAGCACTTAGGAGGCAGAGGCAGATAGAGCTCTGTGAGTTTGAGGCCACCCTAGTCTACAAAGTGAGTCCCGGGCCAGCCAGGGATACTGGGTGAGACCCTGTCTCAAACAAAACAAAACAAAATGAAAGAAAGAAAAGAAAGAAGAAAGAAAGTCTCAAGTGCTGTTAGCTGTTTCCTGGCTCAGGTGTAAGAGGACACGAGGGGCCTTCTGTTACTGAGACACCATGCTCTTCCACAGTGGGGACCCTAGCATCCTTTCTGCTCTCCAAGGACAGCTGTGCAGAGCCCCAGTTGATGTGCTTCACTCTTAAGCGCCCTGGGGGAGGCCACAGATATCAGAGGAGCAGAACCCCAACTGTGACAACTGGGGATGGGGAAGATTGTTGTTACTGACAAAAATGAAAATCCCAACTGTTGCCAGATGCTGGGGTAAAAACCTGCTAGCTCAGAGAGGCAGAGAAAGGACCAGCTGACCTTCCTTCTCAGCTCAGGTCCAGATGGAAAAAACCCAAAAGGTTCACTAGCTCAACAGACAGGAGGAAAAAGCCAAAAACCCAAGGCCACAGGCTTGCTAGCTCAAAGCACCAAAAGCCAGGAAGCTGAGGCGCTGAAGCATAAGGTAAAGCTAGAGCTTGAACTAACTTTCTTCTTCTCCACGGTGTCTTAAATAGCCCTTAACTCAAAGATCCTCCTACTCTTTAATCCCTGTCAGTTGGTTTCTTACTCCCCTCTTGACCTAAGGTTAACGTTATTAAATCCTGTGTACAGAGAGCTCTTGGATTAAAGGTGTGTGCTAAGACTGGGTGAACCTCACCATAATCACCTGTTAACAATAAACAGAAAGTTCATGCATTAAAGGTGTGTGACAGGGCTCAACCAAACCAAACAAGAAACAGTGTTTTACAGTTCATAATTTTGGGGTTCACAATCAAATATCCTGCAACAGAAGACAGTGTTCCAGGGAGCAGAGGCAGGAGGCAGGAGGAAGTGGGATGCCATCTAGGTGCCGGCTCTAGGGTGCTGTTTAAAATTCTTGTAAGCGTACAGTGCATGTATGTGCAGGCACACACGCACCGCTTGCTGTATGTGAGGCCAGAGGATGACGTTAGGGATCAGTCATCATACCTCATTTAAGACAGGGTCTCCTTCACTGCGCATGCCCGGCTAGGCTAGCTGGCCTGAGCGCTTCCAGGGATCCTCCTGTCTCCTCCTCACTTCTGGCACCATTATTCACAGTCATCTGGTTCTACTATATCCGGCTTTACATGGGTTCTGGGGAGTTCTAAATGCCTTTGCAGCCAGCATCTTACCCACTGAGCCATCTGCCTACCCCTACTTTTTTTTTTTTTTACACAAGGTCTCCCTGGCCTGGATTTAACTGGTTAAACTAGGTTAGGTTGGCTGGGCATCAAGTCCCAGGAGCTCTTGTGCCCCGTCCCCAGTGCTGGGATTACAAGCGTGTCCCCACACCAGGCTTTGGGGTGTATGTTCCAGAGCTTAAACTCAGATTTTTACATTTTACTGACTCAACCAGCTCCCCAGCCCAGAACCTAGTTTGAACTGGGAAGGGAGAGCAGCGGGGAGGAGGAGCCTGGTCATGGTCGGGAACAATGGTCAGGCACAAGGCTGAACTTGTGGGAGGCCGGTCAACCTTTTTCACAGGTGGAGGGGGTGGGGCCAAGTGAGGGAGTGGGTGGGACCAGATGTGGGTGGGGACATTCGGCTGGGCTGTGAGAGCTGGTCCTGGTGTCTTGGGCTGCAGAGGCGAAGCCCAATGGGCCACACCCAAGGAGAAGGTACAGGTGACACAAGCTGGGCTCTGGCTCATTCTGATGTTGGTAATGCTGGCTACATGGTTGTGCTGTGGATTTTCCCAGAAGCATTGGGAAGACAAAAATGGACATGTTCCGAATGAAGCGGGTGGGGTCCCCGTGGCATGGCCGTAGTCACAGCCATAGGCCACTGTGAACCGGTCAGATCCAGCTGTGGGCAGGATCTGGATGGGGCCAGGGCAGAAAGAGCGGGGTGCAGAGAGGTACCTGTGATGTGCAGAGCTCAGATGTCCACCCTGCCTTGGCCTGTCCCCTGATCCCGGTCTCGAGACTACCCCACGTTGGCACAATGAGGGGCAGACAGTGGGAGTGTGTCCCATCCTTCAGTGAGGCTGCTCAGAGCGGCAGCCCAGCTGAGGGGGTCTGTGGAGGAGAGGCTCGGGAGCCGCCACTCACCACCACTTCGGCCTTCAGGAGATTGTGGACTGGTTCAACGCGCTGCGAGCGGCTCGCTTCCATTACCTGCAGGTGGCCTTCCCAGGAGCCAGCGATTCGGACGTGAGTCACCAGCTGGGCAGGGAGTGGGGAGACAGCCATCTGGGGTGGGTCACAGGGCTGACCAAGGGCGTGGACTGGCCCCTAGAAAGGCTCCAGGGCTGAGTGCAGCTTTTCTTTCTGGGGTTGGAAGTGAGCCTCAGGGGACCGTGCCACGCTGGGTGCGCAGTCTAGGGGATGGCACGGGGTGGGCCTCACCGCCATCTGTTCTGCCTCAGCTGGTGCCCAAGCTCTCTAGGAACTATCTAAAGGAAGGCTACATGGAGAAGACGGGGCCCAAGGTAGGTGAGAGCAGCATGCTTCCGGACCTGTTCAAGGTCAGCCATCTTTCTTCCGTCTGTCTGGGGTGGGGGATGGGTGGTGCCTGGGGTCAGGCTGGGTGGCTCCCAAGGGCTTGGGAGTCACTGGACTCACTGGGCACAGATGGAGTGCCAGGCCTTTCCCAGGTGTACCCCAAGTATCCTGGGGCTGGCCATGTTGTCCTATGGACTTGAGCTTGAGGATGATCCTTGAGGGTCCTTGTCTGTGCTCCATGGATAGGATGAGGACCCAAGATCCAGGCTAGTGATCTGGTTGCAGGTACTGGGGCTTGGGTCAGCCTGAGCCTCCTGCCTCAGGCCCCTCTTCAGCAGGGACCTTCACATTTGCTTTGCAGCATGGAGGTGGAATCCTACCTTCCAGATCTGGAGCCCAACCTGGGTCTTGGGCATGGCAGGCCTCTTCATGCTGGCTGGCCAGATTGGTGCCCTGTGAGACCCTGCCCACTGGGTGCTGAATGGTGGTTAGCTGGGGCAGAGGTACTCCTTGGACCTACTGACCGTTCCTCCTCCTCTCTGACCCCCAGCAGACAGAAGGCTTCCGGAAGCGCTGGTTCACCATGGATGATCGGAGACTCATGTACTTCAAAGACCCCCTGGTAAGGAAGGCCTGCCCACAGACTCCTCCCCACCCCCAGACCTGTTTAGGGGCTGATTGGTGAGGGAATGGGGCTAGGATTCCTCAGGGTCCTGGATATGTGGTGGTGGGGGAAGGCGGGGGGGGGGGGGCTTAGCTGGCTAGGCTTGCAAGGAAGCAGCAAGGATAGCAGAGGGGGAGGGGCTCCCCATCATGCCTCAGCCTCCTCTCGCCCACAGGACGCCTTTGCCCGCGGGGAAGTCTTCATTGGCAGCAAGGAAAGTGGCTACACGGTGCTGGAGGGCCTCCCGCCATCTACCCAGGGCCACCATTGGCCCCACGGCATTACCATTGTCACCCCTGACCGAAAATTCCTGTTCACCTGTGAGACGGAGTCAGACCAGAGGGAGTGGATTTCGGCCTTCCAGAAGGTGGTGGACAGGCCCATGCTGCCTCAGGAGTATGCAGGTGAGGGGGCAGCGGGCAGGGTGGGGTGGGGTCATGGGGGAAGGCCCCTTAGTGAGGTATGGCTGTGTGTGCATGCACCCTGGGCAGGCAGACTCCTGCTGCTGGTCAGGAGCCCTGGGAAGGCTGTGGCGGGGAAAGCCATGGGATTCGGAGGGAGGGAGGCTGAGTGAGCTGGCAGCTCCAAGGCTGGACCGTTCCTGTTTCTAGTGGAAGCCCACTTCAAGCATAAACCCTAAGGAAGAGAGCCCGGAGGCCCCAGGATTCTGCACTCACGTGGCTGCAGAGGCAGTGCTGGACAAGAGGGGAGCCCAGACTCCTGGTCCACACCCTGTTCCTTGGTGTGGCCCAGGCATAGCCAGGTAGGGCTCAGGCAGGTCCACTGGACAGACATTTCTTCTGAACCTCATTAACGCTGAAGGCAGACTTGGTTCAGGGCCTCCCCTGCCCCTGGCCCGGTCATGCTGCTCCCAGCCAGGTCCAGCCAACTCACCTACCTTCCAGCTGCTGGAAGCCCGGCCTCCCAGCTTGAGCAGGACCCTACTAACTCTCCTGGCCTGAGGGGCTCTTGGCCTCAGGGCAGGACCTGGTGCTGGGCTGCTGCGGACAGCCATGGACAGCCACGAACAAAAGGCAGCGGGCTGGCCTGGCTGCGGGGGACTCACACCGGGAAGGGCCGCATGCCTCCCTTTTCCCTTCCCCACCTCGAGTATTTATTGAGCACCTGCTGTGTGTCAGTCAGGGATCATGGGTCAAGGGTCAGCTCTCCTTCCCCTAGAGCTGACCCAGCAGGGGCATCGGGACAGGTTTTTGTTTTATTATTTTTTTTCCAAGAGAACTGTGTGCAAAGGACCTGGGTCCGCCTGCTTGAGGCCTCCAGTGCCCTCGGTGCGGCCAGCTGGGGCGGGCGGGAGGGAGCCTGCAGGGTGCAGTGCATGCAGCCCGGCAGCGCTTTCCTTGGGAGCTAGGGAGGCCCCCTCCCATCTGCTTTGGGCGCCCAGCTCGCCCAGCTCGGTGCTGTCCCCCCGCTTTGTAACCCATGCCCTCTGGCCCTGACCTCACAGTCTTAGAGCCCTTGATAAATGGGAGCCCAGACCAGGAGGTGGCCGCCCCAGCCCTGATCGCTGCTGGCAGGCCAGTAGTTAAAGCCACCTGTATTTATTTCCCCTGCTGCCCTCTGGCCACCCCAACAGATGGGCTCCATTCTATGGGATCCACAAAGGGCAGGTCCTGGCCGCTGGACAGCTGGGGAGCATTGGGGGACACATCTATGAGCGCCCTGGCCCTTGGCAACGCTGCGCCCCGGGGAGCGGGGGGAGGGGTCCTCAGCTGGGCTTTGGCTGCCCTGTGTCATGTCTCCCAGAATAAAGTGTGGCTCTGGCGTTGTTCCTTTTGTGTGTTGGTGGCTAAAGTGGGGAGCAGGGGGCTGGTAACGCCTCTGTCCTGACAGCTTCCCTCTGGGCAGTAAGGTTCATGAGAAGAACCATGTCAGGCCTGAGACAGAGCCGGCCTGACTGCAACCTGTGCCCCATCAGTGCCCAACCACCACTCGGTGTGTGTGCGTGCACACACATGCTCGTTACAGGAAGGCCCAGCCCTGGGCTGTCCAAGCCTAGCAGTGCCAAGGCCCCCCACCACAGCCCACACTCCTGAGATTCCCTTCTAGACCCCTCTGCTCACACCTGCCAGCCTTTGTGCACTGTGACAGGGCCCTGGTTGGCACACTCCTGCCTAGTGCGCAGTCACTCAGCTTGTGGGAATGCTTGGCCCAGCAGACATCTTTGGCCAAGTCTGCTCGGCCGTGGTCAAGTCCAGCATGCTAGGCCCAGGTGTGTACCCACTGAGTTTGCATGTGGAACTGGGCCCTGAACATACTGGGCAAGCATTCTGAGCCACAACACAAGCCCCTTCCCGACTGCCACAGCTGTGGAGAGGCAGGGGCTTCCAGGCTGGCCAGGGTCCCCTCCTTGCCCTCACTAGGACCATCAGGTTCGCAGTATCACCTCCCTGACGAGCATGCCCGAGTTCTGCATTTAGACCCAGGTGTATACTAACAACAGTAGCCACCTTGACATTCGTCCAAACGACCACCGAACGGGGATGACTGTTTACGAGACGGAAGACTGGCAACTCAAGAAAAGCTGCCGGACCCTTCTTTGGACATCTGTCAACAAGGGATGGCGGGGCACAGCTCAGCCAAGGACCCAGGCTGGACAAGGGCTGAGGACGAGGACATCGCACCTGACAAGGATAGGCACGCAGATGGCACAGGAAGCTGCTGCCATGAAACCCTGAGGAATAGGATGTGACGGGGGTAGTGTTGCAGAGGCACTGTGGGGTGTAAGCGACACTATGTGAGGAGGGCACCATGCATATCTCACATCCCTACACAAATGTCTGCTTTCCTCTGGACGCAACTAGGGCTAATCTTGGCCAACCTTACACATACACAAAATCTGAGTTCTGTTGTTCCAAAATACATAGATGGATGATAGAGCTCTGATTCATGATTCTGAAGCAAGTGTTACAGCTGAACCAGGGCAGCTCTGGCCTGTGCCCAGAGCTTCCTGTGACCATGCCCAATTATGTCTCACTTCTCCGGGGACTCCCTATTTCTGTTACCCCTGTACTGAGCACCCCGATGCACCAAAGTCACCTCTTCTGCTCCCTGAGGCCGAGACATACACCATAGTGGAGGTGATTTCAAGAGAGCGATTCATTTCTAAATCCCAACCATGAATCTGGACACTGCTGGCGCCAACACCGGCGGCTGGCAGGCACAGCAGCCTGGAGGCATAGAGAAATGACACAGGCAGCATGGGCTGTGCTTCCTCTCCAGCCTGCCAGGTCCAGTCTGAACACACTCCCACCCTCCCCCAGGCCTCTGCACCCATAGATGGGAGCTGACTGCCAAACCCAAAGCCAGCCCCATGCCCGACCCAAAGCTCACCCAGAAAGGACTACTGCAAAGCCCAGTAGAAAGGATTTATTTATAGTCAACAGGTGACACAAGCCTTCCTTTAAATTCCACTTTTTTTTTTTTACAGTAAATAACGCGTATTTCCCTCCTTCCCATGCAAGATAGAGGAGTATTAATCTACAACTCTTATTTAATTGTGAAAAAATAAAGTGTCTCCCTTTATAATCAGACTGGTAGTGTGGATATTATCTGTGGTAATGGATGGGGTTGCTCATTCCTGGACTGGGTATTTGGTTAAGTCCTAAAACGTTAGGCTGAAAAATCCCTCACCCAGTAAAAATAAATACTGCAACATGAAGGACATGAAACCCTACGGCACCCTTTAAAACATCTCTGGAGCAGCAGCACAGGGCTCACGGGACCAGCATGGCTGCAGCCTGAACAAAGGAGCCACCGACTACAGCAGGGGCTGTAGTGCATCATGGGGCCCCATGCACCAAGGGGCCTCGTCGGAGCCAGCTGCTTTCGACCTCCAAGGAGCCCGGCCACCACAGCACACGTGCTCTGTCCCTGGGAAGCACACCATGATTGCAAAACTCTGTGTCCAAACAAAAATGAAACAGACAAGGAAGCTGCTCCTGTCTGAGGGATGCAGGATCCTGCCTGGCTCACGGCAGCGGCGTGCCACGGCTGCACTGGACACAGGAGAAGGGTTACCAGTCACTGACCCAAGCTGCTGTGTCACCCTGCAGCCCTCCCCAAGGAACCAGAGACAAGGACGGCAGCAGGGTGCTGCAGCAAGGCCTGCGCTTTATTGTGGGTGATCTGAAGGAACACGGTTGGCCAGCAGGAGCTGGGCCTTGCTCTCTGTCCTGGCCACACAGCCTTCAACCACCATAGATAAATAGGGACAGAATCTGCACAGGTGGCCCCTCCAGCCGCAGAGCAGAAGCTCACTGGTAAGGGGCCTCGTGCCCAGCCTGGCACTGAATCCGTCCCAGCGGTGCCGGCCATGGGCATCTCCACGCTGGCCAGGGAGCTTCAGTCCAGCTCGATGGGGCTGCTGTCGTCCTGGCTCTCTTCCCCCTCCTCCTGCTCCGAGGAGCCCATGAGGCTGCTCAGCAGGTTCCCTAGAGGGAGACACCGGCCAGTGACGGTTATACACAGAGGCAGTGCTGCCCTGGAAGCCTGCCTCCCCAGGGAGCCCACTGCCCAGCTCACCACACTCATGGGTTCCCTAGATCAAGACACACCCAGCCATGTGCGGTCAATGCCCAGACGGTGCTGCTCTGGAAGCTCCACCTTCCCAGAGAAGCTTCATGCCAAGGTTGCCATGCCTTGCAGGAAGAAGAGCCCAGAGGCGCAGCTGGCTACACTTTTGAAAGCCATACTAGGAATACCCCTGATAACCAGTGATGGGGCAAGACAGACCCTGACCCTCTACCAGCAGTCAATCTGGTAGTCATGAGGGAGCAGCCCAAGTCCCATGGAGTCCAGAGAAAGCTGCACAGCATTTGGACCAGAGCCTCAAGGCCACACCTGAGATGCTCAAAGTAGCCTGTGTGCATCTCCTGTGTGAAAACTCAAACACATGGGACTTACAGGGACCACTCACATGCCAATCCTGACCCCAAAATTCTCTTATCCCTGAGAGTGGCAGAGCCAGTGGGCGTTCTGCCAGGCTGCTTGGGTATAGAAATGTAGATGGCCCTCTGCCTGTACTTGCTGTGGCCCCTGGGGAACGCAGTAAGCATTTCTGCAGGGAGGGGAGCTGCTGGCTCTAAAGCTCTGTGGGACGACAAGCACACGTCCTGACAACCTTGGATTGCTATCCCACACTGAGGTATGTGCACATGCTTTCGGGAATGCCAAGCCCTCAGGTGCTCAGGCCACCGAGGGCTCAGGCAGAAAGCAGTAGCACTCACTGGCCCCCGATGGAGACGGCTGAGCCCTGCTCATACACTCCACAGGCAATGGGCTCAAGAGAAACATCAGAAGGAAAGCTCACACCAAGACTCAGAACCTGGGAGGCTGAGGCAAGAGGATCCAAGTGAGCTTGAAGCTAATACAAGTTACAGGTAATGACCTTGTCTCAAAACAAAACAAAACAAAACAAAACAAAAGCAAACAAACTACAACAGCTGGGCAAGGTGGCATAAGCCCTGCATTCAGGAGGCTGAGGCCGCCTGCTCACCAGAGCCAGTTCCAGGGAAGCTAGTACACCGAGAAACCCTATCTCAAAAAGCCAAAACAGATAAACAACAACAAAAACCCCAACAAACAGCCCTCCCCTCCCAAAAAAAAAACACAAAACCAACCAACCAAACAAACAAACAAAAAAAAAAAACCACCAACAACAAAAAACCCCATGAAACTAGAAGGGCTAGGGAGCTGCAGGTCAGTGGTAAAAAACTTCTCTAATGAGTTCAAGGACCTCCTGAGTCTCCAGCACTGGAAAAGTAATAGAAAATGAGACACTTCAAATGCAGAGGACTCCAGCACACTGGCCCTGCCTTGGTGAAGAGGGGCTCATATTTGGAGTTCGGACCCAGCCAGTGAACAACCTGAGCTACAGAGTCAGACTTCAACAAGCAGGTCAGAAACCTGTGTCCACATGGGCAACCTAGGAACATGGCAGAAAGACCTGAGGGGAGCCACCTGCCGGGGCCCAGACCACACGGCTCACCTAGCAAGCCTCCATAGGAGGACGTCTGCTTTGGCGGCACACCGAAGAAGAGCTGTCCGATCCTGTCGAGGTACTGTAAGAAGCAGGGCAGAAGTCGGCGGGTGAGCGCAGGGCCCAGCTGGGGCTGCCTCCTCCTCCCGGCCACTGCCCAGGTGGGGAGCCTCACCTCGTTGTACATGGGGTCCCTCCGCAAGGACGGCTGGTACTGTTCGCACAGCACTGTGAACACAGCCAGCTTGCCACTGCAACAAGAGCCAGGGGTGACTCCCAGTGATGTCTGGGGGCCACAGACACACCCTATCACCCAGATGGACTCACCCGTCCACAGCCAGCAGCAGGAACCAGATGAAATTGAGCAGGGGTTGAACAAAGGGCGGCCCATCCTCGATGGACGGGTGCTTCTGTGTGTACGTAGTGAATACCACCAGCGCGCTGTTCTTGTTTTTCAAACAGAGAAACCTGCACGTAAGAACACCCAGAGTGAGTCCCACAGGCAGACGCGGGCTTGCAACAGAGGCCCACAAGAGACCAACACAACAGCCAAGATCTTGCCTGACAGCAGCGCCCAACTCTGCCTGGACAGCTGTCGTCTCCACGAGCCCAATGGACTTCAGGGCAACTGGGAGGCCAGGCTGAGTCCTGGGGGCTGTCCCCCACGGGGCATGGATCCTTCCACACACTGGTGAAGGGATTAACTCTCAGAAGGTCAACAGAGCTGGGAAACAGGGGCTAGGTGGGTGCTCACTTCTCAGCTATGGCCCCTGCTTTCTCCACACCTGTCTGCATCTGGTGCAGACAGAAACACATGGTGCAGAGGGCTGGGTAGGAAACAGCCCGCTGACCCTGATGCTGTGCTGGTTCTAGGTAGCCTTGGCCTCTGCCAAGAATTCTGTACCAGCAGTCCTAAATCTGTCAAGGAAAAAAAAAGGCCCACAGTCTGCCAGTGGGAGGCGAGCTGCAGCACACCCCCACAGCCAGGCTGGAGAGCTTGAGGTGTTACAGAATTCCTTTTAAAAACCACAACTGGCAGCCGGGCACACACCTGTGATCCCATCACTTCAGGGAGGCAGAGATAGCTGGATCTCTCTGAGTTCGGGGGCAGCCTGGTCTACAAAGCGAGTCCAGGACAGCCAAGGCTACACTGAGAAACCCTATCTTGAAAAAAAAAAAAACCCAAAATATACCACCACCACCACCACAAAATCACAACTGGTTGTGTGCCTGCGATTCTGGCACTCAAGAGGGCTGAAGCAGGAGAACTGCTCTAAGTTTGAGGTCAGCCTGGGCTTTATCATGAGAACTTGTATAAAAAAGAAAAGCACTCTGAATACCCACAGCGACTCTCCTGCCACTACCCACACAGGAGAGGACTGTTCCTTAGGAAGAGAGGTGGAGGCCTGAAAAGCAGGTAAGATGACTCAGTAGGTAAGGTGCTTGCCATCAAGCCCAATGATGAGCTCAGTCCCGGGACCAGCACGGTGGAGGGAGAAGACTCCAAAAGCTGCCCTCTGACCTTTACACATGCACAACACAGCAAGTGTCCCTACAACTCCCACTCTGCACACACTAAGTAAGCAGGTTATGTAATTAAACCCCAGGTTTAAAAGTCAAATATATGTGCCTTCCTGACGCAGGTGGAGATGGAACCCCCACCAGCTGCGGCTGAGCCTCAGTGCTCCAGCGGGACGGCAAAGCCAACGCTGCAGACTCCTCAGCAGGGTGGGTGACAGGGCAACCGTGGCGCTCCCGGGAAAGGACTGGCCGCCAGCCTTGGGCCTACGGCTCCCCGCCTAGCACTGCACAGCCTGAGGACAAGGCGGCCGCTCCAGGCTGTGAGCTGCAAAGGTCCCAGAGTCCTCATGAGCACTCACTGTAGCACAGCCTGAGCCACGAACATGTCCACCTCACTTCGGAAGCCTCGGGCGGTGGAGTACTCGACCAGCATGTTGGCACAGCCCTCGCCGTCAGTGGAGTGCAGAAAGTGATACCGAGACTCACAGTAGTTTTGCTCTGTGAAGGGAAAGAGGAGATGGGCACACCTGACCACAGGGCACACAGGGCCACCCACTCCTTCCCTGCTCCTACCCATCTGTCCTGGGCACACTGCTGCCTTTGCTGGGCCAGTGATCCCAGAATGAGCTAGCCATCTGCACAGCTGCTGTCCCCCCACCTGCCGCCAGCTTCCTTGTGCTCAGAGACCCAACGTCAAACAGCTCAATGAGCATGGTCACCCAAGCTCCTTCCTTTCTCCCTGTTCTAACTGTGTGAAGCTGCTGTGTCTGCTTAAGGCTTGTATGCAGGTGAGTTACTGCTTCTGACCTTCTAATTGGGTCCTGGCTGAGGGAGATGCCTTTGCACACAGTGAAAAGCACCAATGCCTGCTATGTTTAAATGCAGAAACTCACCTAGCACTTTTAACACCAAAACCCTAATAGTAGAGCATGCTGGGAATCCTGAGTGAACATCAAAGAGGAAACTGGGATTTCTTCTGCCTCTGGAGCCTTGACAGCAGTAAGGAGGAAACAGGCCTCTCAACACCACAACTCAGGTTCCCAGCCCCTGACCCACTCTCAAAGGCCTTTTCTGCACAGAGATTTTTGCTGACAGAGAGAGAGAGCAAGCAGTAATTAAGGTAGATCCTCATTTCCAGGCCTGCATGTTCCTGTCTTGGTTCCTGGTTCATGTCCCCAGACCATGTACCAGGCACGTGCTGTGTGAAGACGTCAGTGACCTACGAGTGACAGGCAGCTTGCTTTTAGCTGAAGGACAGAACAGCCCTCAAGAGGAAGGCAGAGCTCTGAAGCACACACTGGGGCTGGGGTTTCCTCTGAGTTTCCCTGAACTTTCTGATCTTTTCACTCTACAAAGTCCCGATTGTTCTAACTGTGGCTCTGGGGTGAAGGCAGGGCGCACAGTGCCCAGGAGGAAGGAAAGAGGAGGTAGGATAAGCCCACAGGATGTCCAGCACATCTGCCATGGGGGTGACATCTCTGGACAGAAATAATATGAACAGGTACATCCTGTGATTCCCACGGCCACAGCCAGAGGGAGGCAGCAGCTGGTCTTGCTCACAGAACTAGTCTATACTCAACTCTGGATAGCATTACATCTGGCTCAAACCTTTGGAATTCTTGAGGCACAAAGGCTGGTGTTTGTGTCACACAGGTCACTGTGCACTTCTAAGCATCTCCTCCTCTCACACAAGCTCCATTAGGCATAGCCCATCATTAAGAGAGCTGTAGCAAGAATTCGACCGTCACAGGGAACAGAACCTTCGCCAGAAATGCCACTGGGCTGGGAACAGGAGCTGCAGTCCACTCCATGGCCAAACAATCTAACAAAAGCTCACCCCAAACTGTGATAAACACCAAGAGAACTACAAAGCAGGGAGCCACCAAAGGGTAAGGTGTAGAGACCCACTGAGGGAGGAGGAGGAAGGGGAGGCTCTGGGAGGAGCAGCATGTGACCAGGTGGAAGAACCAGGACAGTGACTGGAAAGAAGAGTGCACCACAACTCAGGGCTTCTTACGAGCTGTGGCGGTTCCACCCAGGGCCGATCTACCAAAGCAGAAATGTTGGAATTGGCTTGCTGAAAGACAGGCTGATGTACTTTCCCCAGGGCTTCTTCCTGTTATCACTAGGCAGCTACACAGAGGATGCAGCTGCTGGCAAGCAGGATCCCATGCCTACCTTTCCACAGCGTGAGGGCCAGCAGCTGGTGGAGCCGAGGATGGCCCAGTTTCCCGGACCCTCCACTGGACCACTTCAGGGCTCTGGACACAAAAGCTACTCGCTCGGGAGAATTTGGATCCATCAAACTGAACACTTTGGCCAGATTTTCTGCAAATGACAGAATCAGACCCTTACCAAAAGCACGTAAGAGGTGTTTCATGTCAACAAAAATACAGCTCTCTGTGAAGAGGCAGGAATAGTACTGTGTGTTTAAGACAGCCTGGGCTACAATAGTCAGACCTGTCTTAGTCCTCCCCAGTTTTGTAATGCCAAAAGAAAGCCCAGACCACTGGAGTGGCCCGCATGCACCACCCAGGTCTGGGGCCTCCCCAGGCTGGCTTGCCTACTGCTCTTCTGACTTTGTTGATGTAGGTGGGCCCTGCGGGGAGGCAGTTCTGTGGGAGCAGTCTTGGAGTGGCAGGATGGCTCTAGTTGAGAGCGGCAAAGGCCACAGACCGTTTTCAAGAAGGGCTCTAGCAGCCACATTTTGGCTCAGTGGGATTGGTTGCCAACAGGTCCATAATATGTATCTGTGAACTCAACTGGATATGGCCAGTGTGACCTCCCACGGCATAAGCAGTCCTGAAGTGCAGAGCCCAACCCCCACCCCACCAAGTGGGACTGGAGGCGGAGAGGGGGCTCTGCAGAAGACCAGTCATGGAGACCCCTGTTGACAGGCTACTCTACACTGCATCACAAGGTGTAGCGTCCTCACCCAACAGCTCATCGGCGACATCCACCTCAGCCTTCTCCAGGGATTCGAGGACCAGCATGGATAGGTCAGCTGCACTGTTCTGCTGCAGAACAAGCAATGTACAAATCCATGGTCAACAACAGGGGCCCACCCTTCAGGACAGTCCAGGTAAAGCACGTGGCTGCAGGCTCTGCAGATGGCAGCCTGCAAACACACGGCTAGGGACACTGTCTGGCCAAGGAGCAATGGGGCAAGGTCACTGGCAACTGGCAAATATGGAGTGCCAAGCCCAGAGCTCCAGGCACAAAGTCCCACAGCAACAGCCATGGAGACTGAGATTCTAGGCCACCGATGGCCAGGGCCCAGAACAGCTTGATAGCTCTCCCCCCAACCCCCGCCACCCTGGCAGTCTTACCTGGCCATGACTGAAGAAGAGCAATGCCCCTGAGTACATGAGCTCTCGGGCCTCCGCATGCTTGCTTTGGGACATGTATCTGCACACAGGGAAAGAGAGAAACCCAGCCATGAGTGAGTGGAAAACCCAACCACCTGCCATGCAGATGCTTACAGATGTGCTTTCTTTGTATATGCCTGCTGGTCCTGCCTGGGGTGGCTACAAATGCTTAAACAAAATTTATCAGAACACTGCTTTTGACTACGCTGGGTACTGTCCTGCCCCGGCCAGCTACTCTGAACAGCAGCTGTACGGAAGGTTCTGGAGACACAGGGTCCATGAACAGCGTACCCGCCTGAACATGCAGGGTACCCTCCACCCCAGGGTACCACTCCAACAAGTAACCCAGGGAGAAGCCAGTGCAACTTCCATGATGGGGCAGGGGAGATGGGCACTGTCCATCTCAAACAGAAGGATGGGTCTACATGTGGGGGACAAGAGGATAGACCCCTGAAGATGCTGGTCATGATGACTACAGCAACTCTGCTCAGGCCTAGCTGGCCCAACTTCAATCAGCATCCTCCATATAACCTATGTACTGCATCATCTGATGAAGGCCACTGGGTGCCTCACCCCATCACCCAAGAACACAGCCCAGGCCCCATGGACAAAGCTGGACTTTAAGAAAACGATACAGAGCATTAACAGTGCAGGCAAGCCTGGTATGATGTGACATCATCAGAATGGATGGCTCTGAGAGGAGTAAACATATAAGGCTTATGCAGCTTCTGAAACTTACACACCTCACACAGCCTCTACATGAGGTTATCTGAACAGGAACAATTGGTGAAGAGGCCCCAGCCACAAACTGAAAGCTATTCAGGGAACTCCAATGATGAAGCTGCCTTTGAGTCACCCATGGTTCTGTAAGCCCCATGAACTCACCGGCTCAGTAAGCTCAAAGTGGGTTTAATCATTTCTTTGATCTATTGGCAGTGACCTATCTGGGGTGAATAGCTGTTTGTTCATGTTCTCTGTAGGAAGGGTCACACTGAGAGACCAAAAGATAAATCAGCAGCTATTTATTAAGACCTGAAGTAGGTGGGTGGAGAAGTCCAGTAATGCCCTGAGGGGAAGGACCACCTTACTGCATTCTTTCCCCACCTACTAGAGATACAGTTGCTAGGAAACTGGACCATTCCCCCTAGAGAGGGACACCAGATCATTAACGGCCTGGGAACCTTCCTATAGCCAATGGATTCAAAATGTAGCATTTTGACCAAAAGATGCTTGCCAGGCAGGAATCGCCCCTGCCTTGGGCATGCTGGGATGGACCAGAATCTTTAAATGACCCAACTAACCTGGGCTGCAGCTTGTAATTTACAATAAAAAGAACCTCATGTATTTACAGTGGAGTCTGTTTATTCCTGGTCTTTTGGGGTTCGTGAATTGGGCAGAACAACACAACACAGGAACTCACAGAACCAATGAGTTGAGGAGGAGTGGTTTCATGGCCCAACATGGGTGGTGATCCATGTGAGGATGAAGAATCTATAAAGGCAATCCCAATATGGTCTCCTTTCTCCATGTGGGATGGAATGGAGAATCTCCTTGTTGGAGTGGTGGATGCTCCCAGCCATGGGTGGTAAGATATGCAACCAAGGCCACGCTATCTGAAAGTGGAGCATTCCCAGGAGGACTCACTGGTGGCCATCTTCTTCTACTTGATATAGAATGTCATCCAAACTACTGATGGACCAGAGAATCACAATCCTTGCAGGCAGTAGGTGCAGGAGCAGGGGCAGGACCAGAGGTCGGGGCTGGTCTAATGCTGTATTTTGATGCTAATTACTGGCTCTCAAAATCTGGTTACTGCCTGCATAGACCCATTCTTGTGTAAACCTGCCCTAGACATTATACCTGATTGGTTGATTAAAGGCCTAAAACCTGGGCAGGGCAGAATGGGGTAGGTGTGGCTTAAGGTTTTAGGAACGGAAGAATCATGGGAAATGGACAGACAGATGGGAAGAGAGGAGGAGGAGGGAATATGCCATGATAGGTTAGCATGGAAAAGAAGCCATGTGGACCAAGAGGAAGGACTCCAATGATGGTGTAGAAAGGCCCAGATGAAGAACACAAGCAAGGATTTATAAGAGTATGGACAGAAAATAGACCAGATGTGGATGGTTAAGGGGGATTGGATGGGAGGCTGGGAGGTGAATGGTGAGATTATTGATAGCGCAGATCCAATTATATGCCCAGTCCAAGGTGTTCTGCTTTAAGACAATTATAAAATCTAACAGGTGTCAGTGTTTAATTTGATTTGTGATAGTGGGTTAATAATACCACCACAATAATTGTGGCCTAATAATAAACATTTGTTAGGCCATACCATTTCATTCACAAACAACAATCAGACACAGGGTTTTCCACTTACTAGCTGCTAGTACTTGAGGGAAAAGTAGAGGAAAGTGAGAATAAGAGTAAAACCCAAAAACTTGAAAATACATGGGAAGAAACCAAGATTGAGGTGGAAGAGAATATAGTACAAGTTACAGAAGAGACCTTACAAGCACAACCTTTAAAAGGCAAAGTCCATGATTCAACAAGCAGATGGACTAAGAAACTACTTGGTCAGGGAGCATTCAGCATCCAAACTGCTGACTGGGAAAGACTTAAACACATGGTCAAAGGGCCTGTCACAGCTGGGCCTGTCACAGCTCCTGAGGCTGTGGAACACATGGACTGACGAGATCAATCTGAGCTCAATGGAAGCAGAGACACTGGGTAACACAATGGCCCGCCACTCCTGGACACAAAGACTGCATAACCTGGAGGGAAATCAAGCCTGGTGTGCAGGCTTGTAAAGCCACCACTCTTGGGTTATTCTGGCTCAGGTCCCCATGAGTGTATCAGGGACTGGAAGGGAACAGAGAAAATAAGCATTACTGGTACACTGCACAAGAAATACGGGTGTTGGTGCTCAGTTCAGTAAGTCAGACACAAGTGTGGTACAGGAGAGTCAGGAGAGGCTGACTGAGCAGGAAGCATGGACTGGGATGGGATTTTGCTAGCCCCCTGGTGAGATGTGATCTTCATGAGGTAGAAACTCTGGCAGACATTAAAGGCATGGAAACCAGGTTCAGAAAATGGCAAAGCAATCAAAGAGGGATGAAAAGAAGAGTGAAGACAACAAAAGGGTGTGCCCAGGCCACACAAAAACAAATGTGCCAAGATCTGTGTGGAACTGGAGTTACTGGGAAAAAATATTAACATAGTCAAGTGCCGTGCTAGTGACTTCTCAGAGGCTTCAAAATCTGAGCAACAGTCTACAGATGTCAATGCTAAAACAGTTCAGGTAAGAAAAGCTCAGGCAGTGAGCAAAGCATACTGGGATCAAGATTGTTTGCTCAGACTGGGAACCCTTTCAGTAGTAGTGGTCTGGAGCCATGCAAGAGCCAGGTCCAGAGGCAAGCCATGGGAGGTTCCTGCCTCCCCTGGGCCTGAGCCAAGGCAATCAGCGCTCACCCGCCTGACACCAGGAGCAGAGATGCCCAGCAGGCCTGGAGCAGTAGCAGCCCACCATGAGGTCAGATGGTTCATGGAAAATGCCTGTGGCTTCTAGAGGGCAACCTGGGGTGCTGACCCCAACCATGGTCCTGGACTGTTATTCGCCATGTTCCTCTTGTGACAGAACAATTGAGAGAAGTTATGAGATCTTGCCTGCTGGTCTGGGGTTGTTATCAACTCTTTCAGGATTGTCTTAGCTGCTGAAGACCAGAGATGGTTATTTGGAATGGGTGACTATGCACATCCAAAGAAACTGCCCGCCCACGCTCTCTAAAAAGGTTTACTACAGAACTAAGCCTTTAAACACCTTGCAGACATGTAGAAACATCTAGAACAAGAAATAGAGAAAGTTTAAACTCCTTTGTTTAAAGGAGTTTAAACAAAGGCAGCCCACCTGAATAGGAAAGGCACTCTTAGAAGCAGTAAGGTTGTTAAATGAAAATTGTACTCCCAGATGTGAACTATTTCTGTTAAGTTTTTGGTCACGGAGGTCCCACAAACCATAAAGGCTACATACTAGAACCAGATGGTAAGTCCCTATTGCTAAAGATACTACATGCAGCCAAGCATGTGGCTCAGGCCTGTAATCCCAGCACCCAGGAGGCAGAGACAGGCAGATCTCTGAGTTCGAAGCCAGCCTGGCCTACAAAGCAAGTTCAGGACAGCCAAAGATACACAAAGGAACCCTGCCTCAAGGGGGGGGGGGGGGAGCAAGAGAGCACAAGCTTTATTTAGATACAGGACAGAGAGCAATAAGGCTAGAACTCAATTGAAAACTCTCTCCCCACTCACAGGCTTTTGTCATGCCAGAAGGCAGAGGCTGCTGGAGAACTGATACTGTCCTGAAAGGTTATAGACCCTGAAAGCTTTAGTATCAACATTCCAGGAAAGGTGAACTCATGGGTACAGTAGCAACACAACTGTTAAGGATGCAACCAACACTTTCGGATGGGATTTAAAACCTTTCAAAACCCAATGGTACTGTAAGCCTGGGCAAAATTCCATAGCCAACAAGGTCCTAGGTCCCTATGGAAGGACTGCTGCTATTGCTCTGTTAAATGTAAAGATCGTACCTGACAAACACTTATATTTCCCTATCAGAGTGCTACCGCTGGCCCCTCAACTGGCCTCTGCCTCCCTGCACTGGGATTAAAGGCGCACACCGCCGTGCCTGCTTTAGGAAGTCTCTTTGGCAGTGTGAGACTGTAGTGTAGAGCCTTATCACAGATCAAGCTTCTCAGATGAATCGCTGTGGCATAGGAACAAAACCACAACAAAGGGAAATAACCCCCAAGCCTCAGCAAGCCTTGCTGAAGAGGAGGCTGGGAAAGACTCTAAAAGCAGTGGAAAAGGGTGCCATGCCCTGTTGCTATTTCCTGAACTGAACATTCCCTGGAGGAGGGGAGTACACTTGAAACTCAGGAAGTAAATGAACAAGCCTCAAGAAGTAAATAAACATCACAAGTCTCAAGAAGTTCTGGGGCTTAGCAAGAGAAATGCTCCTAGAAATTAAGAGAAGTGTTCCTTCAAAGACACACCAAACTCCCGAGATCAGAACCGCCCACCGATCATGCCCTACCTTACTGAAATTACCTGTTCCAAGGTCAAGAAAAGTGTATAGAGACAAAAGTTTCAGGCAACAATGAAAATAAATTTCTCACCACAAAATTCGTGGAGCTGGGGGAAAGGGGATGCTTTCTGGGTGACCAAACAGGCTGGGTACCCCAAGGCTATGTAAGAGACGAAGGTAGTCAGTCTTCCTTGGCATTCAGCTACATGCACAACGCCCTGTGTGACACCCAAAATCAGGATCCATGCTGTGTTGGCTCAAGAGAGGAAATCGGAGGACAGAAGCTGGTCCATGGGCTGGGAAAATGGCGCAATGGGCTAAGTGCATGCTAATCAAGTGTGAAGATCTGACATCTCCAACACCCAAATGAAAGCTGGGGGGTGGGGGGGGGGTGGTGGGGTGGCACTAAAGAAACGGCTCAGTGGCTAGGAGCACTGGCTGCTCTTCCAGAGGACCCCGTTCCATTAACAGCACAAATGTCAGCTTACAGCTACCTGTAACTCCAGCTCCAGGGACCTCTCTGTGGGGACCAAGCACACATGGCGCACAGACAAAATGCCTGCACACAAAATAAACATATTTAAAACTCCAACAATTGGTGTGACTCTGTGCTTGTAACTAGTGTTGGGCTTGCCGGCCTGTCAGCCCAGCTTAGCAATGGCTAGGTTCAATGAGAGACTGTCTCAAAAAAAGAAAAAAAAAAGAGGTGGAAAGCAACTGAGGAGTAACCCGAAGTCAATGTCTGGCCTCCGCACCTGCATACAACACAAAGGGAGGGGTCGGGGCTGGCCTAAAATGCTCAGCCAGCACACATGTCCAAGGACAAGGGACTCTGCTATAACTCGGTGGTCTCAGTCCCAAGGCTACTGTATGTATAACACACACTGTACATTTTCTTTTTAAAAGATTTTTATGTGACTTAGGAAAATAAGATCACTAGTCACAAGAGCTAACTCACACAGGTCCCGGAAGAGCCTGCTGTGCTCCACCCCATGGAGAAGCTCTAACACAGACTGTTAAAGGAGGGGAGACAACACAACGTTGGGGGACGGGGAACTTCCCAACCAGCGGGAAGCTTCTTAAACCCAGGAAGAAAACACCCCCACAGCTTCAGGAAGACTCTGAAACCCACCAGCTTTACGAGGTCCCTCCCTCCTCAAGCAAGACAAATTTTACGGAGTGTTGAGACTCTTGGACAAGCCCAGCTGCTTGAAAGAGCTGCCTGTAAGAGGCTCAGAGCAACTGATCTGGAAAGGAGTTCTCCAGCCTGCTGAGCTGGCTGTAGGCTATGCAGGGTGCTCCAGGTTCCCAGCTTTTGTCAACTGTCAACCATGCTGGGGTGGCCTTGCTGATGCAGCTGCCAGTCATTTCTGCTCCTGTAAGTAGCCTCTCACCCATATTCCTGTAGGTAACCACAATACAGCTCACTGCTTCACCAAGTTGGACTCTGATGGTATCAGTACTTTGTCGTCACTCCCTGCCTGGGATGTTCATGTCTCCCCAGGAATAGTGTCACACCACTACTTCGTAGGATGGGAAGTGAAAAGTAGTGAGGGACTGGGTAGGCTGCAGGTAGGAGGTCCCTCACCCACACAGCCACCAACACTTGGGCCCTGGAGGATAGCGCGGCGGTCCTGCGGTCAGCCAAGAAATGCCAAACAGTGCCTAGCTTTCTGAGACACTAACAAGCAAGGCCGAAAAGCTCAATGCTAGCTCTGGCAGAGACCTCTGGAGAGACAAGGCAGCCTGCCACAACAGGACCACGGCTAATAGCTAGGCCAGGGGCTCTGAGGTCACCCAGGCCCAATCTCTGTAGACTACTTGGCTCCTTTTTCTAAGATACAGGCTGAGTAGTGAGGTTAACATGGGATCATGACATATTGATACAACAGAATACGCTGTGTATGTGGATCAGACTCAGAACACGTTTAGTGAACTAGAAAGTGAACAGATGGAGAACCCCTTGACCAAACCGAAAAAGAACTGAGCCAAACAACAGACAAGCTGCATGAAAGAGAGAGTCGGGTTACGAACAGAGGCATTCTCAGCAACAGCAATTCCGAGTTTCAAGTAAACAAAACAAAACAAAACAAAAAGCTATGCAGATATTCACTTTAAATATGCAAAAACCACTTCTCCGGTCAGAGAAGCTGGAAAGACCAGGGCTGGTGAGATGAATCAGTTCAGCAGGTAAGGGTGGTTGCGACCACGACTGATGAACTGAGCTCAATTCTGGGAGAGCACACAACTCCTGCAGGTTGTCCTGACATTCACAAGTGTGTGCAAAGACACACAGGTTTAAAAACCAGCGCCTTTGAGCATTCTGATGTCTCTAGCAGTCCTACCCCATGGAATGACCCTGAGCTGATGTGAAACTCCAAAAGAATGCCTGGGTCCCCAGGGCAGCAGCGGTGAGGCAGGTGCAAAGAGGGGCCCAGTTTCCTCATTCTAAAGCAGCTCAGGGAAGTGGAGGCTCAGGGAAGCTCTTTAATGAGTACTGAGGCCCTGTACCACACTGTGCGCCTGTCCTCTTGATGGCCAGTTCCTTGTATGCTGATAACATGTGGCCTCCAACAGTGAAGAGGCAGAACCATCCCTGGTTCACCTGGACCAAGGGAACTCTTCTGGTCACATAACTCCAACCAGAATGTCCTTGGTCACAGCAGGGCTGGTTCAAAGCAAAACCATGTGTATTCTGGGAGATTCATTTTTATTGATTACTCAAAAAATGAGCCGGGCAGTGATGGCGCATGCCTTTAATCCCAGCGTTTGGGAGGCAGAGGCAGGTGAATTGAGTTTGGGGCCAGCATGATCTAGAAAGTAAATTCAAGGAAAACCAAACAAAAAGGAAAGACCCTACCCGAGTGTTGTAGAAGCACAGACAGTGACTGGCTTGCCATACAGAGGAACCCCTGCAGTCGAAAGCTGTGTCTGTTCCTTTGCTTGGGCCAGGTGGCTGTTCAGTGACGGATAGCTCAACTCAGAAAAAACTAACCATTCAGCTGACCCAAGGACTTACACAGCCTGTCATCCCAGGTACTTTCGAAGCTAAGCGTGAAGGATCAGGAATTCTAGATCCATGTGGCTACAGAGTGAGTGGATGACACACTGCCTCAATATTTTAAGTTAAAAAAGGGCTGTAGTGTACCTCAGAGGTCAGGGGTTCCATTCCCAGTAGCATTAAAAAAAAAAAAAAAAAAAAAAAAAAAACCAAAAAACTAAAACCAGTGATTGTATTAATCATTAAATAGTCACTTCTACCTGAAAAAACTTTTGTTTGCTTTTGAAGCTAGGGTTTCTCTGTGTAGCCTTGGCTGTCCTAGACCTCATTAGGTAGACCAGCCTGGCCTCCAACTCATAGAGATATGCCTGCTTCTGCCTCCTGAGTACTGGAATTAAAAGTCTGTGCCACCGCACGTGGCTACAGATTTTTAACTAAAGGATAAAGCAAGTGCCTCCCCACGATAATTGGGAGGAAAAAAAAAAAAAAAAGCCCCTAAGGACACTGTGATGAAACCAGATGTAGCCAGACTGGTTTGTATTTATAGTGTCCAGTTTAGTATACAGAAGATTCCCCAGGCTGACCTTCAGGTAACCTGTGATTAGAGTAAGGACTATTGTCTCTGAAAAACTGCGCGTCAGTGACTAAGCTAAAGCTTGTAATCCAGGCCGCCCAGAAGGTAAAGCAAACGGGAAGTCTTTAAAACAAGGATGCCAGGGTTCACCCCACACCTGCCAAGGCCCTGGACTGAGCAGGGTTACAGAAATGCTGCAGGGCTGGTCCCTGATGGCCTGGTTACTCACACATGTGGCCTTCATCACATGTCCTTTCCTACTATGTCCACTTGGCTACTTGGCAGGCTCACTCTGGGCATGTGGGAAGGAAGTGGGAACTATCCTCAAAAGCAAACAAGTATCACTCAGGAGCCGGAGAGTCTCCGAGCACTGACATTAATCTTCAGCCCTGCACAGAGCGTCAAGGCAGTGAGGCTACTGTGTAAGGTCTCACCCACTGTGTGGGCCGCTTTATCCAGCCCACAGAACAACACCGCGCCAGGATCAAGCTAGAGGGGGTGATTGTAGGAGTCCCACATTGCACGTGGACCCTAGATGACAGTGATGGGTAAAAATGTGCAACCAGCATTGTGCCTCTATGCAGACCCAAGACAAGCACTTTCCACTCATTTTACTGTAGACCTAAAACAAACAAAGCCTTAATATTAAAACGAAAAGTGGGTCTGAGGAGCGCAGAGGCCAAACCCACACCGTGACCATGGAGCAGGGAAGCTGCTTTCCTGAGATCAGGAATAAAGGTCAAAGTGGGGATTTCAGGAAGCAGAGGCACACTGGCAGGAACCTGGAAGCAACCCTGATGATGAACACCGGAGGGCCCACCGTGTCCGTATCTGACCACTCCAGTCACTGGACACAGAAAGGAGGACCGGGAGAAACTACTCTGAGAACAGGACCTGACTACCAACGGAGCCCTCCGAAGAAGGGAAGGCCAGGCGAGGAAGAGGGTGGGCTTAGAAGAAGAGGAATGGCGGGAAGAGAGGCCTGCAAAAAGGGAGGAGGCCTAAAAGAGAACAGAGAAGCCAGGAACAAAACTGTGGCCAGGGAAGGCAAGGCCTGAGAAGAAGTTCGCTGGGGAGGAAGGCCTGGGAAGGGGAGGAAAGGACGGGGAAAGGACAGCACCGCGAGGAAGGCAGGGACCCAGAAAGGCGAGGTCGAGAGAGGAGGAGGGGGAAGCCAGGCGGGGAAGAGGAGGCCCTGCCGAGTAGTCCAAGCCCGCCGCCCCCGCTCCGACCCGCGACGGGCAGCCGCACGGGCCAATGAGGGTGCGGGGCGCCGCAGCGCAGCCAATGCACAGCAGCGGAGGCGGGGCCTCGGCGCCAAGCCACCGCCCGCGCCCACCTGAAGAAGAGGGTCCGGTACATCTGGTGCGCCTCGTAGTAGTCGCCCTTCTCGACGCTGGCGCGCAGCTTGCCCTCCACGCGCTGGACGCCGCCGCGGTTGCGGGCGCCGTTGCGGGCGCCCTCCTGCTCTGCCATCGCCGCCGCCGCCATGGGCCGGCGCTCCGCGCAGAGCTGACGCTGTCGCAGGCGCGGTCGGCGGCGCCTCCCGGCTTCCGTCCCTGCGGCCGCCGCACGCCCTCTACGGTGGCCACGAGGAGCCGCGCGAAGGCGAGCGCACCGCGGGCCGCACGTGACCAGGGGCGGAGCTGCGGAGGCCGGCGGGACCCGCCAGAGCCGCGCGAGGCCACGCCCCCGGCGGGTCTCGGGAGGACCCTGCGGGCCTGAGCCGGGAAACGCGGACGGGGTGGGGTTCGGAGGCTACCGCGCATCCGGGGAGGAACGTGCTGGTAGTCACGCGGGCGCGGGCGGGGCCGGGGTCCTGGGCGGGGCTACACGCTGCTCCCGGAAGTGCTGTCACAGCACAATGCGACCAGCGGCGTAGGCTGCGCAGGTAAACTGGCCGGAAGACACGGCGATGAGGCGGCTGCTGTTCGGAAACTGCCCCAAGCACGTGGGCGAACCAGACAAATCGTAGGACCTTTGGCCTGCCTCACACCTGCCCGAGGGGTGCCCCTTCAGGCCGCAGTCATCCTGAGTGACACCAGGGACAGGGAAGCACGCTTGGGCTAGAACCTGTGATGAGAGAGACAAGACCTGGCCTGGGGTGAAGAAGGGGACGCCCGGCCACGATTATTGGAGGCAGGGGTGCTGGCCACCGTCAGTAATTTGACACCTAAGACTCAGGCCACAGGCCCCTACACAGACCCTTGAATAGTGGTTTTGTACGCAGAAGATCAAATTCGGGCCCTCTGTTCTTATTCAGTAACTGAGCTACACTCTCAGCCTCCATTTTCCTTAGAGATATAGGGTCTGTTACTCAAGTTGGCCCCTGAATGTGGGACTGCCCCGCTTCGGCTCCCTACTGTGGTAGTTCTGTGCCTGCACACAAGTAGACTAGCACTTTATGCGCGTACTCTCAGCATGGCGACGGATTAACAGGGCTGTGAGTGATCGCTGTCAGTACATGTTCACCCATCCGGAAGACCGTGCTCCATGGACACTACCACATAAGGGCCACTGGGGCACAGCAATAATGCCAGGTCAGACTACCTGATGACCTAGACACCTGTTGGTGACAAAGGGGGATCACAACATGAGTGTGCCACCTGGGGATTTGTCTGGATGAGATGGAGTGGTACAGTTTGTCACAAAAATCTTTCTGGAATTTTTTTTTTCCCTCCCAGACAGGGTCTGTTATGTTGCTCTGGCTGGCTCTTCTGGAACTTGGCTCTGTAGACCAGGCTGGCCTTGAACTCACAGTGATCCACCTGCCTCTGTCTCCTGAATGCTGGGATTAAAGGTGAGTGCCACTTTCCTAGCTGGAATTTAGAGCCCATCTGACAGCAGGTACTGAAGTCAGGAGAGCAAAGCCCTGGTAATAGGACTCCTCCATAAAAGAAAACAAAGCTGGGCAGTGGTGGTGCACATCTTTTATCCAAACACTGAGGAGGCAGAGGCAAGCACATCTGAGTTCAGAGTGAGTTTTAAGATATAAGAGCCAGGGTTACACAGAGAAGAGACCTTTTCTGGGGACTGGAAGTGGGGCAAGGAGAAAAGAAAACAGGAATGCCTATGAACTGAGGGTGCTTAAATCAGTGTGACACTTTTGTTAAAAGGTGTTAAAAGGTATGAAAATGTTCCAAGATATATTCGGCAGGCTCTGGTGGCAGGGTGCCCTGGAGGCTGAGGCCCAGAGCCTTGTGACCACAGACCTAAAGCCTCTGCCCACCTTTGGCCCCCTAAGCAGGAAGAGGATGGGCGCTTCTGAGGACAGTGGTAGTACCTGTAAGACTTAGTAGGAACTCTCCAAACACACTACCTAGCAATCCCTCCCCACTCACATGGGCAGAGATTAGACAAGCTGAGAAAAGAAACACACGCTTTTATTATTTACTTGAAATAGCACATGCACTTTTAAAAATTAACTCTTTTATTTAAACATCTCAATAGCATCTTAATTTGGTGGCAGTAGAAGCACTACCAAAGACAAATGTTCTGAAAAGCATTTACAAAAATACATTGCACAAAGTCCTATCTGCATCTTTAAAAATAAATATTCAAAATATCTCCACCCCCAACTCCCCAATTTAGTTTAATATAGGAAATTCTGACTTCTGCATGTAACCTGGAGTATGTAAAATGTGTGCACATCACCCAACCTGGCCACACAGGCAGTGGTTCTAACCCTACGGGGTGTGGGATGTGCTTTAGGCCACTGTCTCATGGATGAGCAATATGCACAAAACTCCAGAACTCTGAGCCCCTGCAGCTGAGCTTGTTTGTGTTCACCAATGCTGTCTAAGCAATGAAAGCTAACAATTCAAGTGTCCAGATGACTTACCAGTTACAAAGTCTGCTCACAAAAGTCTAAATATTAAATATTAATTGTAACCAAACGAGTCAGTGGCCAACATTGGTGCAGAGGCAAACCCAAGAGCAGCAGAAAGTGCTACTGTTGGTAAGACCAGGAGTGACAGCCATTAGCACCACCAGATAGGGTGGCATTTTAGTGTTCTCCCTTCAGCAGAGCCTACAGCGTGAGGGCACCAGAGGGTCACATCTCAAGTGGTTCCTGTCCATTCTGTGACTCAGCCAGTAAGGGCCTGGCTGAGACCCAAGAGCACCGTTCATGTTATGTGTACCCCACTGCACTTTTGGGTCATGCCCTAATAAGCAAAAGCCCGATCCACAACTGTGGGGAATTGGAGTCCCAGCTAAACACAGACAGTCCAGGACATACTCAGCCTCCCCAGGGAACCTGGAAGGGGTCAGACTGAAGATGGAGAAGCTGTTTTCCCTGAAAGAAACATGGGTTTAGCAGATGGAACTTTTGCTTTCCTGTCATCTACAGGACAGCCAGTGTGGAGCTCTGGGCCTCCACGTCAGGACCCTGGGAACCTGCCAGCCTACCTGCTTCTTGACTTTATGCATTGCAGCAAATCCCCAAATCAAAGGGAGTGTCTGAGAACCATACATTCGAATGAATTCAAAGAGCCTACCAGGCTTTTGGTCTCTGAGCACACTCATAGCCTCTGAGGACTCAACATGTCCTCATGGCCATCACACATTTATTGAAGGGTGACAGGGTCCTATGTTCACGTGCTCTCTTCCCCCAAGGGTTCCAGTGTTATGGCATCTTGGTATATACAGACATGTACATGGCTGGAGTGCTCTACGGGGCAGGCTCTCCGTGGACTCGGAAGCGGTAAAGGCAGGTGTATTCAGGGTGGCCCCAGTTGGACAGGACCCGGAGCTCTACAATCTGGAAGGCTTGGTCAGGTCTTTCCTGAAGTTGAGGGAGTAAGTTATTTTCATATTAGCAGCCAGAGGTCAACCTCTACCACCAATCCCTTGCCCCTGTGGGACATGTGACAATGCAGCCATACCCAAAAAATAAGTCTCATGAGCACTTGGGACTCAGGGCACAAGTGTTGCGGGGCACAGGCTGGCTGCTGTGTTTGCCCTTTTACTGAGGCGCAGAGCCGGGCCACAGGCTGATCCACACCACCCTCTCTCCACAAGCCTGTCCCCACTAAGGCGTGAAGGAAGGAGGAAGGATTCTTGTGCTTACCGCTATGTGGAACATCTGGAGTGAGTCCCCTTCCTGGTCATAGGTGAACCGTCCCAGAGGCTGCCCCTCTTCCTGATACTCGGTTTCTAGTCCCTGCAACCATGTGTTACAGCAGACATAACAAGAGTCCAACTCCAGCCCTACTGCCCTGAGTGATAAGCCATCTCCCCCCCCCCCCAAAAGATGTGACGAGCCTCTCCCTGGAGGGGCACACCGTCACAACCATTCAAGGGCAGGTGTGGACATAGTCAACAGAGGCCAGCTTGTGATAGCCATGATCACTCTCAGCACCACAGCCCAGATGCAGATTCTGGGCACCCCAAGTACGGGACATAAGCAGGATGTGAGCAGCAGATAGGCTGGAGTAAAGTGCGAGGTGGGAAGTTCTGGGGGTAGATGGTGTGGAGGTGAGCAAGAGTGACCACCACTCAGTATGCTTAAAATGATGGGTCTTATAGTAGAGGGAATGTAAAGGGCTTTATAACAGGAAGGGCTTCACAGGCAGTTACCGGATAGTTACTACTAAATGGAGACGGACAATAGGACTCTGTGATAGGGAAACATGACCAAGAGGGGTGGTGAGTTCCAGAAGCTACTAAGAGATCAATATGGCTTCCAGAGAGCAAGGAAAGCAAGCGAGCACGCACAAGCACTGTACACAACTACTAAAGGGCCTTAACTGTTGCCCCCAGAAACATGCAGCAAGACCATGTTTCAAGGACTGGAGTGTAGCTCAGATGTAGCATAGCCTTTACCTAGAGCTCACCACTGAGGGGCTGGGGTTTGGCTCAGTAGTAGAGCACTTGCCTAGAATCCCCCAGTGAGGGGCTGGGGTTTGGCTCAGTAGTAGAGCACCTGCCTAGAAAACCCAGTGCGGGGCTGGGTTTGGCTTAGTAGTAGAGCTCCTGCCTAGAATCCCCCAGTGAGGGGCTGGGGTGTGGCTCAGTGGTAGAGCACCTGCTAGCATGCATGAGGCCTGGGTTCTATCCCTAACAATGCAAAAAGAAAATGTGATTTATCTTTTAGAATTTTTCACTTCAATACTTCAGAGTTGTCAGAGGATAAGTAGACAGATGAAAGTGAGGAATACAATCCTCAAAAGTCAAGTGTCTCTAACCTAATCTATTATCAGGGCACATGAACTGAACAGGACAGTACCATACTACCACTGCAATGTAGCATTCTACTGACTTAGAAGGATAAAGGGATAGGGACAAGGGCTGCCCAGGAAATACACTCAAACCATTAGCCTCTGAATAAAGGAAACATCTCTAAGGGTGGAGAAAAGGCTGTTTTTAGGGTGCCAGCAGTGGTATACTCACATAGACTGTGAAGTCTCTGGGGGCACTGGAGATATTACCAGTGGGTGACAGTGTCTTTGGAATGTGCTCCATGGTGAATGTGGTTGGGTAGATCTTCATGGACAACCGCACCACCAGGTACCCCTGGGAGCCTTTGAATGCCCAACAATTTCCTGGGTAGATGTCGGGCTAGGGAAAGAAAACATTGCAACTCAGGCTGGGACGGGGCTTGTCACCAGAACCAAGTCTGGATCACAGGACTGGGACATTGAATTCCAGAAAAAGCACAGTGGTTGACGGCCAAAAGGGCCAATTCCTATGTGTTGTACCCTGGTGCCTATGCAGCAAGGCTTCCATGAAACCCAAAGGACAGCAGAGTGGAGTGGACAGGATAGAGGCTTTTCTATACCATGTTGAATACCAGGCACACTTATGATGCCCTTTAATTTTTCACACAAAGGAAAGCCTGAAAATCAAATCTTCCCTGAAATTTTGTTGGGGGCAGGGGATAAAAAATTACAACATTGCCTGCGTCCAGGTGAACAGGATGCATGAAAGCCCAGTGTCTTCCAGTCAGGCCTCAAGGCTCAGGGCAGGAATCACTTGAGACCATCTTGCAGCTATGACCACCAGGGGAGCACACTGTCACCTGTCAGCACTACTCAACAGATGTATTTCCAGGTGACAGATGTCCTAGTTTTGCATAGTTCCAAACCTTGGGACAGTATTCTTTTACTGCCATATACTATGACACACCTCCCTGAACATCTGTCATTTTCCACTTAATTTCTGGACCACAGATGACCATGGACATCAATACAGATAGAGTCCTGGGATCAGGAGTTCCAGGTCATCTATGACTACAGACGGAGCTGGAGTCCAGGCTAGAAGACTGAAAGCGGGAGATTCCTGCACTGGGGACCCCAGTCTCAAGTCTGCTGACAACACTGTGTTTCCTGAATTTGCAAAGGCTGGGCTTGTGTACACAGGCCAAAGACAGATTCACTGGAGGCGTCACAGAAAAGTACTGGAAATTGCTCAAAATGTACTGAGTACCTGACCACTCAGATCTTTCCTTTCACCTGTGGCACAAGCTACAGGAAAACAGCAGTGCAGATAAAGCAGATGCCCCACGCTGGGGGACATGGTGGCTGCTCTCAACCAGCTCTCAATCTCATGACAGCACAGACAGAAAGCAACCAGTATGGCCCTTGCAGTCCTCCTGTGATGCTTCGTTAGCCCGCTCTCTGTTTAGTCACACAGGACCAGGAAGCCTCAAGCAACCTGGTTCCCTCCCAGTGAGGCTGCACACTGAGGGATACAGTCCTGCCATTTCCGTATGCCTATGTTGCCCTCATGAGGGGCCGAGAAATGCAGGGTGGTCTAAGGTGCAGGGCCCTGTGGACAGGAGCTCACCTGGATCACCACTCGGGGTGACTGGGAGAAGTACCACAGCGGAATCCCAAACAGGCTCAGCAGCGCCGTCTTGGTCTCATAGGTCTCAGAGCACCGAGTGCTTAGGATGCTGCCACCTGGAACACAGGGGTAAGTGTGTCACACCTGACGGCAACATGCTGGGGAGTGAGACCTGGAGGCCAGCAGTGGTGTGTGTGCGATCACCTGTGTATCGGTGTTTTGCTTGCATGAATGTCCATGGCCCACGTGCAGCTTGATGCCCACGGAAGCAAGAAGAGGGTATTGTATCCTCTGGGACTAGAGGTGCAGATAGTTGTGAGCTACCACATGGATGCTGAGAATCAAACCCAGGTCTTCTGGAAGAACAGCCATTGTTCCAGGCCCCAGAACCCAACTCCCACCCAACTCCCAGTGCTTTTAACAGCACCTGCTATACTTGGAAAAAGAACCTTGAACTATAAGATCAGCCCTATACTTTTTGATTAAAAAAAAAAAAAAAGTGGACTTCTAGCCCAGTGCCTCCCAACACCTAGGAGGCAAAGGCAGGTAGGTCTCTTGAGTCCAAGGCCAACCTGGTCTACAGAGCGAGTTCCAGGACAGTCAGGGAGGTTAAACAAACAAACAAAAAACCCTAACCACAGAAATTAGTAGGTGGCTGTGTGGCTAAGAACACTTAGCTGCTTTTCCAGAGGACTTGGATACAGTTCCAAGCACCTACATGGTGGTTCACAACTATCTGTAATTCCAGTTCCAAGGGTTCCAATTGCTCTTCTAAATGCCATGAATACCAGGCACACACTATAGAAAGACATACATGCAGATAAAACTATTCATACCCACAACATAAGTTCTAAAAAATTAACACACACACACACACACACACACACACACCCCATCCCCACGCCTTTGGGGCTGGCACATGTACCAGGATCAGGCTGGGTACACCTCAAGAACTCAGCATAGCCTCACACTTCCCAACGCAAATAGCCAGCACCCTTTTCCCTCTCCTCTTGACTCAGCAGTTCCCATGGCACTTGAGCCACCCACTGCACAGGGCACTCAACGCTTTACTCAGCGGGTTGTCTTTCACATCCACTCATCTTATCCCTTCACAACAGTGTCTAAGTGTGCCTGAGGGCCTGCTGCTTTCAAAGTTCTGCTCAGATTTTCCTAAGGGTCAAGAGTCCCACAAGCACTGGTGTTAGGACGCAGGAAACTTCCAGAGGCTACCTAACTGGTCAACAGGAGGGAATTCTGTGACAAATGCTCACCAGCCAAAAATCACTGGGAGAAGGAGGGACTAGTGAGGGGACAGACATTCTGCTCTTTCAGGGGAGCAGGCAGATAGGACATTAATGCTAATAAGAAATAAGAACTGAGAAGTCGTTCCTGTCTCAGCCACCATGGGAGAGCAGCCGCCATGGCCTCGTACTGCCCCAGGGCCGTGGGCCTCAACACGGGTGATAGCTGATGAGAACGTCAGCAAGCCGAGGCACAGCGGACCTCACTAAGCACCCCAAGGTCATGAAGGCCATGATCAGGGAGGTGTGCAGCTTTGCACCCTGCAAGCAGCGTGCCCAGGAGCTGCTCAAGGTATCTAAGGAAAAGCACTCAGTTCATCAAGAAGAGGGTGGGCATGCACAGCCACACCAAGAGAAAGCAGGAGGAGCTAAGCAATGTGCTGGCAGCTATGGGGAAGGCCAGGAAGGACTGATGGCCCCTCTCCCATAAACACATACATACACACACAGACACAGACACAGACACACACAGACAGACACACAAACACACACACGAACTGAGAAGTTGGGGCTGGAGAGATGGCTTAATAAAGCATACTTGCTGCTCCTGTGGAGGACCTGGGTTCTGTTCCCAGCATCCAGAGGGTGGCTCACAACCATCTGTAACTCCACTTTCAGGGGATCTGATGCTTTCTTCTCATCTTTACATTCACCAGGCATGCCTGCTGTACACAGGCAAGACACCCACCCACATAAAACATAAAGGGAGGGGAAAGAACTGAGAATCTCACACACACAGGTCCTCAGAGCACATGCAATCATCTATGTCAGTCAAGCTCAGTGCGTCTGTGACATGCAGAAAGGCTGTGGATTCTAAAACAGGCAGACAACATGGCTCTGATGCTGCAGATAAAGACCTGAGCTCCTGGACACTGGCCAACGTCTGTCTTAAACACCCTGACCCTGGTCTAAGAACAGCTGTTAGTGCAACCTCTCAGGGCCTCAAGGGGATTTAGATGGTGACAAAAGTCTACGAGCTCCAACGTGGCCCCAGAACAAGTGACAGCTGCCAATGCAAACAGCACAGCTAGAATGTCATTCAATGCCTCTAATCTAAATATAATTTCTGATGTTACTTCATTTTATAATATATAACTAACATTAGTTTTTAACAAAAGTCATTTAGACCAGAGGCTCCTTAAGAAGAGTGAGCCACCCTGCTAACTCCACGCAGCCCTAAGTAAGTGGCTATTCCCACACTGTAGGCTCACATCACACTGAGACGGTCCAGCAGTGATGGTCAGGCTCGTGACTACCCACATCACAGGCTGCTTAAGCTGGGGACACGAAGACTCTACCTGACCAAGCCCTGCCCCAATCCCTGGAGGTTTAAAAACTATTCATTAAGAAAGGGTCCGAGTCCACGTCTCCCCTGCAGTTCCTAATTTCTGGATGCTCAGAAAACCATTTCTGCACGGCTTGTGTAGCAGCGCCTCCTGAGATGGCCCAGGCCGCCCAGTGGTGTCTGCATCCTCACATTTCCAGAAAGGGCTCATAGGCCTCATCCAGGTGTGCAATCCCAAACCCACGGCACCTGTAAGGGCCCTGCAGCTGTGACTCCCCTGCCATGACAGAGAGCAACACAGCTCCCATCCTGCTTGCACTCAGTCTTAGTCATAACCCTTGAGGCGAGAGGCCTGGGTGTGCCCTGTGAATGTGCAGGACCAGCTTACACACACCCCAGTGGGCAACTTCCCAGGAAAAGTGGGCACTTGGACCTCATCTACAATACTCTACTGTCACACTAAAAGTGTGGCAGTAGCCAGGCAGTGGTAGCACACGCCTTTAGTCCTAGTACTCAGGAGGCAGAGGCAGGAGGATCTCTAAGTTGAAGGCCAGCTTGGTCTAGTTCCACGACAGCCAGGGCTCCACAAGGTCACCCTGAGGGGGAGGTAGGTCAGGCAGCATGGCAGTGTCTTGCAAGCTGACCCAAATTTCTGGCCTGGTCTTACATGCTCACGCTCACCTCTTCTATTGGTCACTTACCTCCAGACTCCAGAGCAAAGTCTACCATCCCAGTCTTGTCTTGGGAGTAGAGCTTCAGAGCATTGTTCACAATGACGTGCACTTGCTGGCGACCAGAAGAAAGGAGAATGAGGTTAACGCTGCAGAGGCTGGTGACCTTGTATGCCTATGCTCAGGAAACACGCTTGGGTGGGCTAGGACCAGAGTCTCGTCACTAGGGCATGACAGTTCAACCGCAGTACCAGAGCCAGGGCATCCTGCTCCCTGTCACCATCACTGGGGGAGGGGGCTGGCCATCAGGGCTAGGACAAGACAACTAAAGAAAGCTGTGCACAGCTGGAAGCTGTATAACCACACATAGGTATATGGGATGGGCACCCCTGGGACAAAAGGATGCCGAGAGTGCAAAGCTATGGAGGGCTTCTACATGATGACAGCAGCAGAGCCGCACCTCTGGCAGTGCCCAGTCTACTGTGTTCTCAGAACAAGGACACAGATAATGTGTCTATGGAGGAGGCTGAACCTGTCTGTCTACTCACCGCTTCTGTGATTCCTGAAACCCCTGCCTCATTCATGGCAGACACGATGGCCTCAGATGATGGGGCCTGTCCTGTCACCCTGATGTGGTGTGTAATATTCTGCAGCACTTTTAGCTCAAGCTCCTGCAAAAGCACCTGCAGCTCATCCTTGCTCACAAACCGAGAAGAAAGCTTCTGTAATAGCCACTCAAGGGAACTGCCATGCTGATCCTTCGAGAACATTAGCCGCACAGTCTCCTGGATGCGGGCATCAGTCTGGCAAGACAGGGAAAACTGGTGAGTGTGTGGCACTGCAGTCGCAAACTGCTCCACTACAGCTTGTAGAAGCACATCTCTGGAAGACACATTGACCCCTTCACACTGAATTTAAGGATTCTTTCCGAAACTCTGGAAGCTTCTCAACAGACTAGGAATGAGCTGGAGTGCTGCATGAAGGCCGCTTACACTGTGAACCACAGAAAGTGGACATGGGTTTTCCGATGCCACTAAGTCCACTAGGCGGCTTCCACGACAAAGCCCCACAGCTCAGGCACGGGCAAGGCCCCTGTCCTCGCTGCTCCTTAGCAGCAGCCTGAGATGTGGCCCAATGGAAGGCTGAGTCCCTACGTACCACATACAAACTTCTTTTGCCTCCCAAGGAAACAATCAAAGGGCAAAGCACAGGAAATGCATCCACCTACCACAAAGCTGTCAGGGGTCTAACCCTTCAAGCTGTCAGGGGTCTAACCCTTCAACTCTGCAAATGGTGCCATTATGCACTCGTCCTCCCTCACTCTCCCAGGACTACCCGAACCCTGCCCATCTCTACTCATTTCTACAGAACAGTAGCCCAGAGTGCATCCACAACTGGACACTAGCAGGACTACAGGCCAGCGGCCCACTCGCCAGCACCTAGGACAGGTAGGCTGTGCACTTTAACCAGAAAACAGGAGACAGGCTCCTGCCCATGCACTCTGTTGTCCGCACCTAGCTCTCCTCTCCCCTGCTCTAGGAGCTCTTTACACAGGTAATTCACAGACAGGTCAGGAACCAGCTCTCTAATCTATGGTCTCAATGCAGCTTGTAAGGAGTTCTGCCAACTACATGTCTGTGTCAATAGACCCAAGGATGGTGGACCATGCAACATCTGTGACATACTGTGACACGAATGGAAAAGTGTCAAAACAGAGTGGAGGCCTACCGTACTGTAAAATGAACCCCCACACACAGACAGAAAAGGGGGAAAGAGAATCATAATCCCCAATATGTGTCAGTTGTACTATGTGATAAGAAAGTCATGGAGTGAGCTCAGCTGTCAGTGTGCTATGCTGTTGAGATTGGGATACTCACAAGTCATCAATGTGTAACCTGAAAACACTTACAACCTTCAAGGATGAATGGAGTGCAGTTTAGTCACAGAGCATTTGCCTGGTCTGTGTTAGTCTCTGGGTTCATCCACAAAAATACCCAAACACTTTTTTAGGGGAGGGAATTTCTACCAGGCAGGGTTTCTCTGTGTGTAGCCCTGGCTATCCTGTCCTAGAATTTACTCTGTAGACCAGGGTAGCTTTGAACTCAGAGATGTGCCTGCTTCTACTTCCCCAGTGTTGGGACTAAAGACATGTACCACCTCTCACCCACAACTCTTTTTTAAGAATTTGCCACAAACTCTTAAACTCAGAGATCTGCCTGCTGTTCACGTCCCTGCATTTGTCTGTGCCTGCAGACACAAAAAAGTTTGAAGGCTGTTGTGTATATAAACATGATTTTGTTTTGGTCCCAGGTGTGGGATATGGGACTGATTTAGATGGACCACAGCAGCAGACTATTCACTTCGTGTGGGCTCTGAGAGGAGCTCTTTACCAGCTGCAGATAGTTTCAATCTGAGGACTCTAGAGAGAGAATAAATGCCAGAGCCAGACTGTGTGGATCCAATCCAAGAAAGAACAATGCTGTTCCTGCTTCCCCTTGCTGCTTCTGGTTGCTGTTGTGAGACAGGAAGTTGGAGATCTCTTGAAACAAGGATTGGACTAGCTCCAAGGAACCCAATGACCCTAACCAACAGGAAGCAGCTAAGAGAACTGCACCCCATTTCCCACTAGCCCTTTCTCTCTCCTACCTGGTGTTGAGGTGTTGGAAGGGACTGGGGTGGAGTAAGGAGAAAAAGATAAAAGAAACATAAATAAAAGTTTTAAAAAGTACACCAACAGAAGGTAGCCAGAGTGAATCACCTAGACACAAGTCACGTGAGCTTCCCCCAGGTATCCGTCTCCTAACACCAGCACTTACCTGCTCACAGCTGGCCTTCAGATGCTGCCAATCTGACAGCTGTGACTTCAGCAGGTTCAGTTCAATTTCTAGGTGCTGCACACGGTCAAGGAGGGGCTCTTCAGCCCTGCTGGAAGCCAGCAACCAGGGAGGGAGACAGGAGTCAGGGCCCAGATGCATTCAGAGGAAGCCTCAACCCTAAAGCAGCATTTCTATGTCCTCAAAAATCACAAAGAGGCCAGAAACAAGCTGATGTCTACCCACAGCCCCAAGGCTCAATCTGCAGCTCCATGCTCTCGGCATATAGTGGAACAGAAAATAAGATCAGGGTATGATCAGTGACTGACTTTGTTTGGGGAGGGGTTGTGAGATAGCCATGAACACAGCTTTGTAAGGGAGGCTAACAAGCCCAGCTGAAACAATGCTCTCCAGTTAAATGTTTTGTATCTATACATTCACATGCCAAATCATTGTTCACTGAACCCAGGTCTGGGAAGAGCAATGAGCACCATGGTCCCTCTAGCCCCACATTACATGCAGAGGGCCCATTAGCTAGCAAAAGTTGCTACCCAGCCACACCTACCTCAGGAACTACCTACCAAGTCTAGTGCACACAAACCCAGAGTGTGCAAAGAAGATGCAGTGCTGGGCACAAGGAAAAAGCCAGCAGGAAGTGGGAATAAGCACAACTGCTGAGGGACCAGGGCTTTGCAGTGGCACAAGGACTACCAGCTTCAGGTGCAAAAAACATGGCAGCCATAAGATGATGCATGGCTGCTGGGCACCAAGGCTGAGCTGGGCCTTAACGCAGGTCCTCAGAGACACTGATGGAGCCAATGAAGCCAGAAGCAGAGAGAGGATCCTGGCAGAGATAGTCCCCCAAGGACACAGGCAACTCCTTATGGCCAAGCAGGGACATATCTATGCACTGCCTGAAGAAAGACCTTCTCAAGTTCCTTAGGGCCTTCTGTCCCGTGCATAGTTCCAAGAGGATAACAGGAAAAATACCCAAAAGCTGGTAACTTCAGGTGGCAAGTGACAATTTGAACCTTCACACCCAGTAAATAGTTGGTTAATGTGCTCCAAATGAGCAGAATAACATGGGAACACAGAACTCCCTGCGGTCACCTACCTGCCTGCTCTCAGCTTGGTTTCTTCCAGCTCCTTCTGGATAGCCTGGGAAGTGGGGGAGACTTTGTGAACAGTTATGCCCTGAGTTCATAAAGCATGTCTGAGTAACCTAAAACTTCACATACTAAAGCGTGCGTCTCGGCTTCTGGGCAAAGGCATCAGGGTGAGTATGGCTGGGCCTCCTTTTGACTCAGGGACAAAGTGTTCAGGTCAAGTGCATTCTGGGTCCCCTGACAAGTTGAGGCCCCTCTTCCTGCTCAGCTGAACATTCCTGACACCAACAATCAGGAAGTAGAAGCTGGTCCCAAGAGACCAAGAACTATTCTACTGACCCCCACTCAGTAAATCATGGTTCAGTTCAGTGAGGCCAAGCATCTGCCATACCTAGCTGTGTGCTGTGCCCGAAGGATGCTAAACCCTGCCACCAAAGGTCACATCATCTGCACTGCAGAGCCACACCCACATCTAGTGTACCAGCACACAAGAGTGAGGCTTTCCCACCCACACTGATTCTATGCAAAGCATGTTCTATTCTTTTTGGTGGAGACTGAGTGATACCAGGGGCTCGTAAAGATATGACTGGATTTTAAAGCCAGCACAGCCACCTGTTTTGTCAGATTCACAGGTGAAGCAGTTATGCAAAAGAGCTGAAATGCCCAGAAAACAAAACCACAAGTCATAGGTTTTCCAGTTGTAAAGATCAACAGCAAGAGCCTGAAACAACGCACAGCCCTGGCTACAGGCTTGGAAAATACTGGCTTCGGGTTCATCTTCACGAAAATACTGGCTTGAGGGCTACTAAACAGGCTCCGGGGGTGAAGGCACTTGTGCCAAGTTTGATGATCTGAGTTCAATACCAAGGCACACTATGGCATGTATGTGCTCATGCCTAGCAAGTGTGAGGCCCTAGATTCCATCTCCACAGCCAGGAACAAATTCACCCCACCCACCCTGAGGCATTCACACACAAAGCCTGTTTCCTTGGGGGACTCCAATTATAAAGACAAGAATAATACCTCGGGGCTGGGGAGAGGGTTTGGTGGGTAAAAGCACTTGCTGTGCAAGCATAAGGACCTGAGTTCAAAACCCCAGCATTCATGTGAAAAGCTGAGTGTGGCTGTACATATGCCAGTAACCCTAGGGCTGAGAGGGGCAGAGAAAGAAGGCCCAGTGCAAGATTTTGTCTCAAAGGAAAAAGGCAGAGTAACAGGACAGGATCTCCTGCGTCCTCACTTGTCTCTGTGCATGTACCCCCATGTGGGTGCCCACCAAGCAAAACCTTGAAAGAATAAATACCTCAGATTTTTCTGTCAGTTTTTTAAGAATATATTCCAAGTTGGAGAGACGCAGTGCGTGGTCATGGTGGAAGGTCATGAAGTCAGTCTGAGAATGAATACAGAACAAGCGGCTGAGAGAGTACAGCGTCACACACGGGCCATTAGGGCAGTAGTTCTTACTGCAGTCATAGGCTGTGGGGCATCTTTAGAGAAGCCATCTCCTAGCCATGCCTCTATTTCTCTCTGGCTGGAGGTCTCAAACCCGAGAGAAATCAGACAAACAGCTTGTTTAGTGACCCCAGTATAGGAAGTAAATCAATTCATATCCACTGTGATCTTTACAGCTCTAACATAAAATCCCATATGGATAAAGACCTAGGACACACACATTTCCCTCTTTCATCTCTTACCCACGCAAAATACACGGTATGTCCACTCACTGGCAACACCTAAAAGCACCATTCACAATAAGATCATATTTATCCTGTGATTAGGTCCCTCATTCTGAAGTTGACTAGGGCCAGCACGGTATTATTGAGCTGTCACTCCAACCTTCAGGAGGCTGAGGCATGAGCAGTTCGAGTTCTAGCCAACCTTTCAAGGCTCAGTGAGGCCTTAATCAATAAAAGCATCAAGAGAGATTTCTTTCCATGGGCTAAGTGTAGTGCATGTTACAAGGCCCTGGTTTAATTCCACCTCTAGCAACACACCAAAAGAAAAAAGATATGTGTTTGTTACACTATGGATAGGAAATGGCTTGTGTTGAAGGCTTGGTCCTCAGCCTGGTGGACCCAGTCACCGCGATGCCCGACTCACCAGGACTCCAACCTACCCAGACAGCAGGCCACAGATGGACTCAGTACCTGCTGTGACACCACTAGGCAGTGGCAATGTTTAAAGGGCTTTGTTGGAGGTAACAGGGCACCAGGGTGTGACCAAAGGGTAGGTCTTCTTCTGGTCCCTCCTCTCTACCTCCCTGTGCCAGGGGGTGTTTTATCACAGGGGCGAGAAGTGCACTGGGGCTATGTGTATACCAGGGCACAAAAGGAGTTTCTGGTCCTCACCTTAGTATCAGGGGGTTCTGTGGTGCCCAACTCCTGCAGGTGCTGTCCAATCATATCCTTGACCCACAGTGCCAGCCCTTCCCTGCCATCATCCACTTGGTCTACCCGCATCTGGAGTTTCTGAAGCAGGACTGTCATCTCCGCAAGTCTCTTATCGTGGTTGTGGCACTGTGCACTCAAAGAGGCTATCTTCTGTCCCATGTCACTCTCCTGAGGCCACTGGGAAGCCCTATAATCAAGCTGAGGTGAAAGCAGTAGCTGAAGTCAAAACCAGAGGGTCACTCCAGTACGAAGCTGCAGCTCCTCCCACTTTCACGTTGTGAAGGAATGCTATTCGTTCACACTCAGTTATAACTGAGTCAGGGAACATGTAACTCTGCACCTGAAAGGCTATACAGCTTGTGGTGCTTATCTCTGTTTATGATTTTACATTTTTAGGGCCATAGTGCATGGTAATCCCAACACTTGGGAGGCAGAGACAGGTAGATCTCTGTAAGTTCTAGGCCAGCCTAGAAAGTGAAAGGCTGTCTCAAAAAGGTTTTTCCCTCTAAGGCAGGATCCAAGACTTCCTGTTCATAAATAGTATGAAAAGCTCTAAAGACCACATGCTAATGTACCACCAAGACCTCTCCTGCTGGTTACCTTCTGAGGTGGACTGGGGGGAAGAGGGCCAGCTCTGTGTGTACCCTCGGGATCGTCCACACTCTGTGCTGGCTGCATGGCTGTCCAATTCAGCACTGGTAGGAGTGAGAGGAAGCTGCCCTGGCCCCACAGGGAGAGACCAGCACCTGCGGAAGGAAGAGAGCTGTGTGCACATGTGCAGGTACCTCAAAGTATTCACGTACTTTGTTTTCACCACAGATACATGCTTGTCTCTGAAGGTCACCATGCCACATCTTACCTAGTAAAAGTAGGAGTGGGAGAAGCAAGATAAAAACCTTGCAAATATTTCGAAGGCACCTAAGAACAGAAAGGAATCCATTAACTCTGGAAAGACAGAGGTGGCACGCCATTCTGCCACCTGTGCACACACTAAACCCCCTGCTAAAGTTTTAACTACAGGCTTGGCCACTCCCACAGGAGGTCCTTCATACGCAGCATGCCGGCAACTTGAGAAGTGCTATCTGATGCACAAGACCCAGAGGCCTGAGGCCCTGTCCTGGGTGCGTGAGCATCTACTGTGGCGAGCTGGTGCCCACAGAGCTGCACTAGGGTATGAACATAGAATCTGATTGGGCCCTCCACTGGACAGTTTTACATATAGCCAGTGTGTGCTTAAAGTGGCAGATACCTTTTCCACCTTCATTAATTTGAAAAACAAAAATATGAAGTCTGTTATAAAACATATAAAAATGTATCAACGCAGTCACTGCAGCTGTAGCCTGAGCCATTACAGAGCTATCTACAACTGGTACAGAATGGCTACTTATACCCTATGCAAACAGAGACTCCAATGCCGACATGGCATCCCGACCTAGACACAGAAGGCCCCAACAGTGGCATGGGATCTTCACACTCACAGTTTCTTACCTGGTAAGAAGAAACACATTCAGCCAAGAAATCAAAGTAACAAATTGGTACCAGCCGCTCCCTAGCCACCAGAAGGTTCCAGAAGCTGCCTTCCCTATAAGAGAAGAGAGCAAGTGTTCTGGGAACCATGCCTTAAAAGCCACTCCTAGGTGGATGTTTCTGGAAAGCCACAGATAGGTCTGTTGAAGGGACAAAGACCCTAAAACACTGGTCGCTGGGGAAGGAGAACAGTGAACAGCAGCAGCTACACACAGGAGAAAACAGGGGGAAGCACCAATGCCATGCAGCTCAGGCCGTGCGTCATGAGGCCTAAGGCCCACACACCCAACACAATAAACAAGATGCCACAAGCCTAAAGTTGAAAACAAGCATGTCACGTTGGGGACCTAGAATGAAGCTCCAAGATGGTCCTATACATTGCTTATCGCTGCCCCAAACGCTGTGAGAGCACTGACAGAGAAACCACATAACCACCTGGAGCAGTGACAGCCAGCCAGAGCACCGACCACATGGCCTCGGCCACAGACCACCCAGCAGCTCTGGTCCTGTGTAGTGCTCGAACCAAGAGGTCACCTGTGGCAGAGAAGACATGGCACTATCAGACAGACTGCAGGGGCCAGCACATACTGACAGTAGAATGAGCAAGGCTGCTGGTACACTCTGCCCAAACTCCCGCTTCTACTAAGCCAGGAGAAGGCTACTTAGGTCTTCTCAAGAAAACCTTGCGGTCCTCATTTAGACTCTCTGCTGTACATTCTACATTCTTTGTTTTGAAAGAAGGTTGCCTGTATCCCAGGCTGGCTTTGAACTCACCATACAGCCAAAGGTGACAATCTTCCAGCCTCCCAAGTGCATGAGCCATCATTCTTGACTCACTGTGGTTTTCTTGTTTGTTTGGGAGTGAGGGTTGAGACTGCGTCTCATTATGTAGCCTTGGCTGTCTTGGAACTTAGTATGTAGACCAGAACTCACAAGAGATCCACTTGCCTCCACCTCCCAAGTTCCCAAGTGTTAGGATTAAAGGCATGTGCTACTATGCTCAGCTCATCCGAAAATTTCTTAGCAGGAGGCAAGTATCTCTTCACCATGCCCTCACCCTAAAGGGAGTCTAGAAGGTATTCACAGATGCAGATGGGCGGTGCCTGCAGACTTCACGGTAGGAAGGTAGTCTTTTAAGATACTCAAGTTGCCGAGGCAGTGGTGACGCACACCTTTAATTCTAGTGCCTGGGAGGCAGAGGCAGGCAGAGCTCTGGGGATGCCAACCATGTCTACTGAGTGAGTTCCAGCACAGCCACAGCTACAGAGAAACGCTCTCAAAAATCCAAAACCAAAAAAACACCCCCCCCCCAAAAAAAAAAAAAAACCAAAAAGGATGACTGAGGTTCTTTAGTACAACTGGGTCAGTATCAAAATGAATGGGTACCCAACCATCATCGCACAGAGCAGAAAACCTAGCCCTATTGTTGGGCTCTTGCTTTTGAAGAAAAGGGTCATTTTATGTTGCCAGGCTGGCCTCAAAGTCCTGCTATCTCAGCCTCCTAAGCAACTATAGGTACATGTTACCAAGCACTTGGTTCCTTTAAATCAGCTTTGCTCCATTTTTTCAAAGTGATTGCTGGCTCTTCCGCTTACATTAACTTGGTATCTGCATGTTAACCCCAGTAAACATTACTACATTATTATTATTATTATTATTATTATTATTATTATTATTATTATTATT